CTAATCTGAGATATGGGTTACATACTTATTCTCTCCAGAGCTTAAAACATTAATTTCTAAGGAAATCAAGTGAAAAATTATAGTTATTTTCTAGGGGTTTTATAAATGAACTGTTAGAGTTTATAAATGAACTCTTCAGTGCCAGAATATGAAATTATAATTGCTCTGTAATTATAATCTTGCTTTAATTTGAGATCCTGATACTGCAATCCTATACATGTTTACTCAGAAGTAAACCCTATTGAGTTCAATGGGACTTCTTCAAAGGTAAGTGAATGTGAAGCATTGTTTCCCAACCTCCCCACACCCCAACCCCTGGATATGTTGACCTGGTGCTCCCATAATCTCTAGCCTTAATGAGAGCTGCAGTCCGAGACAAATCACAGTTGAATCCCAAATTGTTTGTTTATTTATTTAAAACATGTATATTTGGTCAGGATGTCTAGACAGCTTACACAAAAAATAAAACAACAGTAACAAGGACAGCAAAATCCACAACAGCACATGAATAAAAGCACAACCTACAATAAAAATATGTCATAAAATCATTCTAACCATTAAAATATCCAGCAAATAAAATTTTTTAGTCCAGCACTAAAATGAATAGTGTTGAGGCACCTCTCTGAGGAGAGATGGGGTGCTACCACTGAGAAGGCCCTTCCCCAGTAGCCATTCTTCTAGCCTCTTTCAAGGAGGGCTCCCAGCAGGACCTCTACAGATGATCTTTAGGTTCAGCCAGGTTCTTATGGAAGGAGACATTCCTTCAGATATCTAGGCCCTAAACTGTTCCCTGTAATTCTGACACAAGTGGTTTGTACTCATGGCTGATCTCAGTACAGAAATTTATCTTTCAGTTTTTAAATGGAAAACACACAAATCAGAAAACAATCTGTGTGAGAGATACTGTATTTCAGAAAAGATATATCCTATCAGATTACCCATAGGGAATTGAGACTGGCAGGTCTTTGTTGATAATAGTTTAAGCTATGTTGCCCATGTACTGATGAATGATTCCAAATACATGCCTCCCCACCCCGCACATACATCATCATCATCATCAACAACAACAACTCCAAGCTTTCTGCCACATAAATGAGAACAGGCACTAAGTCCTAAAGTGCTGCTTCAATCTATTTCCACTTCGGCCAAAATTGTGTCTTCTGCTAAACAAATGGGCAGACCTCACACAGCACACCTTGTTTGTAACCTTACTACTAAAAGTGACCTGCACTGGCCCAGGGGGAGTTTATGGGGGCAAAGTGTGTTCCCAGACATCACTGTAAGCTGGTGGACCAAAATTATCCCAGAGCAAAGTTGGATTCTTTCTTGGATATCTATGTGATGGTTCTAGTAAACACTTTGGGGAAAAAAAACCCTCATTTCTTTTCACTTTTCTTTATAAATTAAATAGAGGAAAACAGTACAATACATGACTGCAATAAAAAGAATACAATAAACCCTGAGCAGGATGAAAACAATTCAGCATGAAAACAGGGAGACAACTTTAACCCAGAGTAAAAGTTTCGTGAAACTGGAAGTAAAGGACTTAGCTTCTCCCCTGCAGCATAACAGAAAGTTTAACATGTTCTTTTTAATTTGTGTAATAATTGTAAATATTTCTATCTTGAGCAAAAGAAAAGAAAAGCAGAGATAAACAAGAAAGACGAGTTACCTGTGCAAACTGCTTCAAAGCACAGTTAAACCTGGAAGACAACTTAGTGCGCAATCTTATGCGTGTTTAGACAGCAAAAAGTCCTACAACTCCACCATTGCTGGGGGGCTGCAGTATGCTGGGAGTTGTAAGCTATTTTTTCTGTTGAAACATGCATAGATTGTGCCCTAAAAAGGGAAGAAGAGGAAGAAAAAACAAGTGGGTAGGGTGAGCAAAAATAAGGTAGGAGCAACCAACTAGAATCCTCTTAAATAAAACTCTTCACTGTACTTTACTTTGCAGGAGGGAAACCATTAATTACTGATCACCCATGGCTAACAGAAACATGAACTATGTACCTGGTAAGGGAAACAGAGTGTACCATAAAATGGGCACTGCTGGATTTGAACTAAAGTCCTCTCCAGTTTCCCTGTTGACAAACCAGCCCCAAAACAGAACATGAGCTGTAAATCTGCTCCTGATATTGCCCCCCAGAAACTGCTATTGAAAGGCACACTGCCTCTGATCTTGAAAGCAGTATATGCCCATCATGGTGATTAAAGCTCTTCTAAGGCACTTAATTGGCTTAATCAGCTGTTAAGCCATTCTTCTCGCCTCTTTCAAAGAGGGCTCCCAGCAAAGGACCTCTGCAGTGTTATCTGCTTTCAGTGCTATAGCAGAATTGATGATAAATGATAAAGCACTAACCTTTCTGCTTTTTGGCTAGATCACCTCTAGGAAGCGATAGAGCATAGCAGGATGGCACAGATGCACAAGAGAAAACCGCACGTTCTTTTGCATTGATAGTTAAATGTCACATTGTCCCTGCTCTAAAAGCCACTGGCCCAGAAGTGCTCTTTAGATGCAGAAGGAAAACTAGGGGGTGATGTCATTGACCAAAGAACCCAAAAACTATTCTGAATATAGAATGACGGGTGCATGATAAATGCCTCGTGTAGAAAAGCCCTTGGCCTTTGATAGCCTTATAGTTGATGCTGATGCTGATGACATGACATCTTTGTTCTTCTTGCAAGGAACCCAAGGTGGCTTACATAGTTCCATTTTATCCTCACAACAGCCCTGTGAGGTAGGTCAGGCAGAGAGTGAGTGCCTGGCCCAAACTCACTCAGTGAATTTCATGGTCCTGTGGAGACTAGAACCGGGATCTCCTGGGTTTTCAATCCTGCTCCCTAAGCACCGCAATATGTCTGATTCTCAAGAAAGTATTTTTAAGATGGTGGCCAATGCCACTTGAAAATGTGAATGTAACCATATGCTGTGTGAAGTAGTACTTCCTTTTGTAAGCCCCTGATCCTTGCAGGGACGGGTGCAATACATGGGCAAGCACTCATTGGGCCAATGGGGTGCAACCGCCCACACCCATGTTCCAGTCATGACGATGTTCTGAGTTCAGCAAAGTGGCTGCTACACTTCACCTGCCAGTATTACTTGGTGTCTACTCTTAGCAGGGGAGGCTGGTGTCCGTGGGATGGTGCATCCACTCCAGATTTCACCCTGATTGTTTAAGAAGCTATCCTTGGCACTGAGCCCCTTTTGGGATAAATTCAGTACCATGGATAGATCCTTTAAAGTTCAGATTGAAGTTAGCTGGATTTGGGCAGTAGTATGTATATGAAGAAGCCAAAGGGAATACCAAATACAGGAGTTTTTGAGCTTTCTGATTCATATCTTACTAATATTTTTCTGAATTGATGAACAATTATAAATATCCTTGACAGCCACCAGACTCGGGAAGACTGTTCTGCAGTGTTCATCAATGCTTCCAAGATGAAGAAGATAATTCTAGGATAGGTCAAGTGATCCCATAAGTTATACAATATGATAATCTTGAGACAGTTGTACAATGTTTGTGCATGGTGGTCTATTTCTCTTGTTCTTAGGTATGTGTCTCTCACTCCACATAGAATTTTGAAGAAGTTCATGATGCTTCTTGAATATAACACTCTTCCACATTGCTGCTCTTCATTTCTCAGGATCTCATAGTACTTGGTGTAGGCTTTTAAATGTTGCAGAACATGATGCTAAGTCACAAAGAGCACAAGCACGAAGAGAGTGCACAGCTGTGTTGTACCACTTGTTAGACCTGGTGCCATGCCCCTTTGGTACCAAATTGTGCACACAAATTACAAACTACGGTGCAGCTTTGCCTCCCTAGAAACATTGCGGTGGACACCCATGGTGCAAGAGACATGCAGACTGAACAGGTGGCACAATAAATTGCACAGGTTTATAGAAGAGCCCCCACCTTCGGCCCTCCATTTATTTATTTATTTAAAACATTTTTATCCTGTCCTTTATGATAAAATGTCTCAGGATGGCTTACAAAAGGCTTAGCTCCCCCCTGATCCTGCTACACTCAATAATGCACAAAAAGGTACACTTCAGAGGTGCGGTTCATGCCTTAGGGCTCAGAATGGGGTGTTCTACTTTTCATAATAAAAGCTCTCCATTGGTTCTTGCAGAGGAAGGATCACTCTAGATGCTCTGTACTGGAGTTGCTAGGTGACAATTCGTTGAAGGAACAGCTTTTGTTTTGTAAAGATAATGAAATGTAGAGAGCCTGTATCCCTCCGGAGGCCTTCAGACTCCAACTCCCATCACTTACAGCAACAGGGCAGTCTGCAGAGGCTGCTAAAGGGGCATTGACGGAACAAAGTGGGACAACCCAGGCAGTGTCCTCCATGTGTTGGGTTACAGCTCCCCTCCTTCCCAGCCAGCGTAGCTGTTGGCCATGGGGGTTGCAGTCCAACATGTCCGGATGACACCAGATTGGCCAAGCCTAGACTGATGGGCACGACAAAGGCCCTTACACAGATGCTTAGCGTGTGCCCTCACCCCAAGCTCTTCCCTGCTAAATTTCTGCAGGGAATGGAAAGCCCTCCCTGGAAAGAAAAGTTGCAACCTTACTGAGTCCCCTACCCAACCAAAGACTAAAGTGCAGAACCCGCGCACACGCCCTCTTTCTCGCTCCCAGCTCTGAAGGCTCCCAGACAGGCAGCTTGGTTCGCATGTGCGTGTCTTTCGCTCGCCCTTTGTTCCAAATTGCCTGCTGCTTGTGGGTGGGCGGCGGGGGCAAGGCCAAGCAGCCAAGCGCGCTCCCGCGCTCCAGCCGCTGAGGCGGGGGGCCTCCCATTTTTGCGCGCGCCCGCTGAATTGCATCAGACTAGACGCGGCGGCTGCTACTGCAAGTCTGTGTGTTGCAGGGTACCCAGAAGCTGGACGAGGGCTCTCCAGCCACTCTCGAGGATTCGCCTTCGCTCCTCCAGGTGGCAAAGCCTCCCCGCTGGAGCAGCTCTGCGCGGCTCCGCTCTTCAGCCTTTCCCGTCCAATGCTCTCCAAAGCCACCCACTTTCTGAAGACATTCTCCACCATGGCAACAGTGAGTAACTTATTATTAGGAGGAGCAGGAGGAGCAGGAGGACATCGGTGGAATGTGCCCTTTCTCTCCCATGCTGAAACTGTGGCAGACCCTTTACAAATCGGGGTCCCCATCTATTCTGGGGGTATATGGGGGCTGGTACTTGCAAGAACTGAAGCTTTTGTTTTTCAAGGAACTGAACAGATGGGAAAGAGGGAAGGGGAGAGTGGCCAGTGGAGCTTCAGTAATGTGCCCTGACAATATTTTATCGGTGGTGATGGTTGCGTGTGTGTGTGTTTTAAACTTCTCAGAGGAATGGGAGCTCTGTTAAAAGGGGCAATCCCTTTTCCCCGTCAGGCTAGAAGTGCCTTCTTATCCAAGGTGCTCCTAGTTGTAAAGACAGAGTCTTTATTCTGCCCCTCTGCCGCATCTCAAGCATCACGGACCATACGGGATCTGCACCTGTGTAGGCAGCACTCTTGCATGGTCAGCTTTGCCAAGATTGGTGATGTGGTCCCTGCATTGTGATGCAATTTTATGCAAGTTTAGGCATCAAGTAAGACCTACAATGCTGTAAGCTGTATGTATGTATGTATTTGCTGGCAACAAATGCACCAGTTGTTCAGGGCAGGATGAGTTTGCCTTTGGGATGCCCAGTCCTCGTGCAGTTGTGTGTGTGTGTCTGCAGATATGTGTGGCAAATGCTCACTTGTTTCCTGGCTGATGCCCCTGCTGTGACTCCAGTGCTTCTGATGTGATGCTGGTACATTTTATGCCCACTCAGCAATTTCAGTCCACAAATGAAAGTACATCAGGACATTTTATTTATGTATTTATTAGATTTATATCCCACCTTTCCTCTTTTAAAGAACTCAAAGGGGCTTACATAATTCTCCTCCTCTTGCTCTCAATCTTATCCCAACAACAACAAGAACAACAGCACTGTGAGGTGGGTTAGGCTGAGAGTTTGTGACCTACCCAAAGTGCTCCAGTTGGTTCCATGGCCAAGCAGGGACTGGAACCCAGATTGCTTGGGTCCTGGTCCAGCACTCTTAACCATTACACATTTTACCCTGAAAACACACCTTTTAATTATAGATTATATTCATATCCCAGCTTTCCAAAGAAGCTGAAGGAAGCTTTCACATTTTCTCTCATGTTATCTGTACAACAGTCCTGCATGGTACGTTTGGCTCGAGCTCACTCAGCAAACCTTGTAGCAGAGGAGAGCGTTGGCTCCAGGTCTTGCAGGATCCAGGTTCCCAAACAGTGCCCTGCACAACTTTTGTTGCTAAAATAAATATTACCTGCAGGAGATAGCAGGAACGAGCAGACTTCTGTGGTATAATGATCCATGAAAAACCCAACTGTCTTTGGAATCAGTTCTCTTCTACTGTTCTACACAAATGGGTGCACCAAGCAGATTTAAAAATATTTTTAAAGTCAGGGCTTAATGCCCGACAGCAGAGCTAACATACCATCTGTTTTATGGAGGCAGGACATTTGTGATTGCCATAGAAGGCATAGCTAAAATGCACTCACTGCTCTGCAGTCATTCTGCTGAAGTCCCCTTTAGTGCTCATTCCATTCCTCTTAAGTTTGGGTGCAAGTAGGAAAGACAATCCAAGCTGGCTGTAATCCACAAGAGCATATGCACATCGTAAACGTGTTAGTGTTTAAAGTGACTCTGATAGGGGTGGTACTAAGTACAAAAAGGATCCAAGGTTCAGGCCTCTAGGATCAAATAAAAACAAAATGCACAGAAGTGCATATGCTAATTTACATTTGTTCTAAAGTCTCTGCCTGTGTGTCTTTAAAGGACCCTGCCTCTTTAAGACACCCCTATTCGTAAAAAGGATTGTATGGATCTGGGAGAGGAGGGCATTTGATTTCAAGGGAGGAAAAAACTCAGGCAGAAAGTCTGGCAGGGGAGCAGCAGCAGGTGAAGCACATGTGCACTTGAAGCCAGCTGATTCAAGGGAATCATATCATCAGGTATTTCATCAATACTCATGGAATGCAGGATGTTAGGGGAGGTGGTTTTCCAGATATCAGGGCTTTAGCCCCAATGGGCCACCCCCTAACACTGCCTCTGGCCACCAGGCTCTCGGCTGTTTTTGCTAGGATGAGATCAATGTGGCAGTGCCTGTCCCTGGAAATCCAAACCCAGACAGTGAAATTCACAGGCTCTGCCAGCTCACGGACGCTTGACCGGAGCCTACTGTGCATGTGTTTAACAACACAGCCCCTGGTGCATCTGTCAGCAGATTGAACGGAAATCTGTGCCAAGGGATTGGTATAGTACGAGAGGGCTTGATCTGAGCTCCTCGGATTGCATCAGCAATGCTAAATATGAGAATGAATGACTGATGAGAGCACATTGTATATGGATAGGGAGGGGTTTGGCATGGCTTAAGAAGGGATTTACAAGCTTCTTAGTTGAAGAAGAACAACGCTCCACTGGAAGCGGTAAGCAGTCACGCTGCTTCTTTTAAGACGAAGATGCCACAGAAAGAGCCACTGTATGTTGTAGCAAAGCTATGCTTACTAAACAGTCATAAACTGGACATCTCACTCTTTGCAACAGTGGCTAGATAAGATGTGGGAGGTGATGGTTATATATAAATGGATTCATCAAGTTCAGTTGCTTAAAGGCACAATCCTATGCAAGAAAAAAACCCCTAGAGTTTTTTCTGCCTAAATTTGCCTACGAGTCATGCCTTTAGACATCTGCTCAAAAGAAAAAATATGTAAATAGATGGGTTTCCTTTCATTTCTCTTGTCAAACATTAGATGGGCCAACAGGCAATTATAGCTGCAAACCTATGCATGCATAGACAAAAAGGCTTGCAACTCCCATCATGCCCCAGCTGGCATGCTGAGAGTGGTCTTTCTTCTTGTCTAAACATGTACAGAATTGCACACTAGCTCAGATTTAAGCATATGTATAAGTATATATCTCAACCAAATCTATCCTAATATTTTGGCATGACTTGGTTTGACACAACATCCACCATTCTTAGATAGATTACCTGTCAAAATTTCTTTCTTAGTAAGCTCAATAAGTATTTAACATTTTATTTTCCCTTCTTGCTTTAATAAGATATTCCTTTGTGAATAGTTGATAATATTTTGTACAACTACTAAAACATTTCAGTGTTTGGTTTTTTTAAAGTGAAATAGCAATTCATCGTGTATTAGTTACTTCTTTATAACTAGTAGGAAACAAACATAGTAGCACTTCCAGAACACAGACAACTGATTATTTACTAAAGTCTTCTTCAGAGGCGACCACAAAAAGAGGTAAGAGGTAGGTGGCTACTAAGGAAAGGGGCTTTTCTGTGGAGGCACCCCTATGTCTTTGATACCAAGTGAAAGCCTCTGTATTTGCCCATGTTTTTCAGCTCAAGCAACATGTTTTAGTGCTCTTTGAATCTTGGACATGACTACTGATTTTATTCTCCTTTTATTCCAGTGATGTTTTAACTTACCACTTTACATTCATGGTGTGTGTGTCTGTAAGCCTCTCAAAAGAACTGCACTGGTTGCTTATTCATTCCATGCCTGATTCAACAGAATAAAATAGAACACAAATTCACAGGGAAATGAGACTTTTCTTTGGATTTTTATCTTTGCTGACAGGTTTACTGCCAAAATAAACTAAAGCTAGCTTTAATAGGCCAGAGTCTATTTGGACAAAAAGTCTACCAGCAATTACAAAAAGAAGGACACAAAGTTGTGGGAGTGTTCACAGTCCCAGACAAAAATGGAAAGGCTGACCCTTTGGGTAAGTACTTATGTCCCTTAATGATTACAGTATTTGCAGTGGGCAGGGATAGGCATGATCAAACACTCCAGCAGGGGCCACTGACAAGAACCATCTAGGCTTGCTTCTCTTTGTCACGGTTGCAGGTACACATGCCTCTGTGCTTCTCACACCCTTCATCGGATGCCTGTAAAACTCTGAGTTCACACAGTTATGGGCAGCCTCACTGGACTGTGGCCTGAGTTACTCTGCTAAACAAGCCCATTCCACATAGTCTGGTAGCATCACAAAACTGCAGCCCATGGGGTGATCCCAGATTGTGGTGCCTTCCCGCAGCAAGATGGCTGCACTTTCTGGAAGGGGTGAAAGTAATCTCAGAAGTGGTCTTGATCTGTTCTCAAATCTTTTTCCTATAACATTACATTTCAGTACTTTAACTGACAAACCCACTTGCAAATGCTCTGCTACTCTTACTTCCCAGCCTCTGCTGCAGAGAAGGATGGGATCCCTGTGTTCAAGTTTCCAAGGTGGAGAGTGAAGGGCAAGCCCGTCAAGGAAGTTATTGATGCTTATCAGTCTGTTGGAGCAGACCTGAATGTCCTTCCATTCTGTACACAGTTGATTCCTATGGATGTTATTGAGGGTCCAAAGCATGGGTCAATTATTTACCACCCATCACTCCTTCCCCGTCACAGGGGAGCATCTGCAATCAATTGGTGAGTCAGAGGTACAGATTTTGTCAAATCCATCCTGTATGTGTTTCTTGGCAGATTTTCAGGCATCTTTCATTCCATCATCTACTCAGTAATAAAATTGCTTGTTCTTTATTGGAATTTCCACTTTGACAAATTTGAATTAGCACTAAGACACACTTGTGTGAATGTGCTAATCAGTATTAGCTGGTGTGCATTAATGTTAATGTACATCAATTAGCACAGCAGAACAAGTGTCTTTGCGAATGCCTATTTTTGCTAATGTGAATTAGCTCAAATTATGATCAAAAGTGAAGGGAAAAAAAGAACAAGTCCATAGGTCTGTGGAATCCATTTGACTTGAAAAGATTAGTGCCTCTGTGCACTCTGCTGTTCAGACCCATAGAAATCTAAACTCAGTTCAACCCATTACAGATTCCCCTTGCATCCCTGTTGGTGAGTAGACTTGATAAAGGCCTACCTCCCCACCTCATTACCCATGCACAGTGGCCTCAGTCAGGCCTGTGGCTTTGTACACTTCCATTAAACATAAAAAAAGATTGGACCAAGCCAACTGGAATAACGAAGAGCTTGAGCCAGTAAGATGTAAATCCAGGATGAAGTTTCAATTTTGAAGACCAGCTTTGCATCTTTCAAGATGCTTGAAAGATGGCTCTCAGGAACTTGGACTGAACTCTTTACAAAGGAAGAAAAGACCTGTAGGCTCCCAACTGAGCTCCTAATCTCAGAGGGCAGCCAGTATGGGTTTTTTCCCTGCCAGTTATGAGGGGGCAGGGGAGAAGGGTCAGAGTTTTGATCCTCAGCTCTGAGGTCAGAGCACAGTCTTTGACCTTGGACCTGGAATCTGAAAATTTCTGGGACCCTCAGACACTGTCTAGGCACCATAAGACTGCATCCTAAATTTCCAGATCACCATTTCTGGCTCAAGCCTCTGCCCAGGTTTATCTGCTGCATAGCTCAGAAGATGCTCTCTCATTCATTATCTCCTCTTCCACATGCCCTTTTATTTGTTTTCAGGACTTTAATTCATGGTGACAAAAAAGCTGGATTAACCATTTTCTGGGCGGATGACGGGCTGGACACAGGACCAATTCTTCTGCAGCAGGAATGTGATGTTGCCCCAAATGATACTGTTGATGACCTGTATAATCGCTTTCTTTTCCCAGAAGGAGTAAAGGCTATGGTAAGGTTCCCCAGAATAAAAGACAAGCCATTGGAAGGAAAATTCAATGGCATGCCAAAATCTGATGATTGCAGCTTGCTTTATATAGACAGCTGAGAGTGCGCTGCTTGTGCAGGAGGCAGCGAATGGAGCTTTCACAGGCATGTCAATAAGGGGCCACCCTATGTCAGTCCCTGAAGACCTGCATTGACTGCCTATTAGGGCCAACACAGAGATTACTGTAAATGTGTGTCCAGCAGTGGTGTCTTTTCATTTTTACTCTGCAGGAGGTGCAGAGGGTGCAATTGACATCTTAAAAGTTCCTCTTCTTGCCAAACTAAGGTCCTGATCCATACTGGAGGCCCTGTGCCTACTATAGAGAAAAAAAATAAAAAAAGACATAGCTGCTAGATATACCTTTAAAGTAATGTCTTTTGACCTTCAGTCACAAGACCTGATACAAAGCTCAAAATGGCTTGAGACATAGATACTTTTGCCAATATAATCCTGGCCAGTTTTGGAGATAAGCCAGGGAGGCACTTCTGATGCTACTAGCTTCAGAAATCAATTCCTTGTCAGAGGGCTTTCTTAGCAGTAACACCCTGGCTGTGGGATGCTCCCTTCCCTTCCCTTCCCCTCCTCAACATTTATGCAATACTTCCAATATCAATGGAAAGCTTTTCCTTTTCGACAGACCTTTCCAAGTGCTCCTTTTTAAAATGCTGTCTGTTTTTATTTGATGGCTGTGAGCTGGCCTGCAATCCCAGGTGATGAGGGGCGGGATAACATATTTTCTAAGCAAATAAGCAAATTGTGGAACTTTGGAGACTAAGGGCTCAACCCTTGGCCCCTGGGTATTGCCTGAGGCATCATAGGAAAGTAGGGATTCCCAGCTCTAAGGCCAGAGAGAGCGATCCGACCTTGGAACCAGGCTCTGACCCCTCTCAACCAGTTGCCCACCCACTCACAGCCTGTATGGAAGGAGCAATGCTTTCCAAAGCACATTGGCTGCTCTTTAGAAAGCGGCTTCAGAGAGAGGTCAAAGGGGCATTTTGAGGGGCAGGGAGAAGAGGAGACGTAGGTATCTTGAAGAAGAAGCCACTCTAGCCTGTTCCTCCACCCAACCCAAGATGCTCTAGTGAAAAAGCCTGTCTAGTGAAAAGTGCAGAGCAGGCGCTCCAGAGGACAAAGACCGCTTCTGCCACACCTCCTGCTCTACACAGGATGCCCCAAAGCTTCCAATTTCAATGTTGTGAGCTGCTCCCTCCCTTTTTTTCCTTCTGGTGCTCAAACTCAAGGGCATCCCTTGAAGTGCAGTTCTTTTACTGAAACTTAACAGACTACAGAACAGTGTGAACTTCCCACCAAAGCTGAAGGAGAAGCGTCGGGACATTCAACACATGGAAAGTGTGGAATCCAAACTGGAACCTTCCCCCTGACCTTCCCTCTCAACAAAGCTTCTGACTCCCCTCTTAAGGGCTCCTGCTTCTTGAGGACAAGACTGCAGGGACAGCAAAGAACCTTTAACTGGGCCACGCATTTCTCCTGTCACTTCCTTACCAAGTCAAGGACTGCGTCTTGTACATGCACTACTCCCATCCTGAAAACCCTCCTGTCCCTTCCCAGGCAGACGAGTTCACACAGTTTGCCTGAAAAGCTTCACTAAGTAACCTTGAAATTTCAAAACCCTTTGAAGTCTCCATTTCACTGTGAGTCAGGTTAGGATGAGAGTAAGTCAGACCAAAGTGACCCAGAGAGGGGACTAGAACCTGGATCTCCCAAGTCCCAATCCAAAATTCTAACCACTACTCACAGTGTAGGGCTTATCCTATAGATTGAACTGAGGACTGAATCTGGAATCTGAAACTTCCAGATTCACAGCTCAGAAGCACCAGTATCAACACATGACAACAGATATTCCCGTAAGAGTTGACTTGCTGTATGCTGGTAACAACTTGCAAGCACTTACCACATGCCCAGTGGGAATCCAAATTAGTCTTTTCAATATGTTTGAAATAGATAAAAAACAGGGCAAAGTAAAGTTTGCTAAAGGCATCAAAACAACTCTCTCTTCTTTCCTGCTTAGGTGGAAGCTGTGCAGCTAATTGCTGATGGTAAAGCTCCTCGGATTCCCCAGCCTGAGGAAGGGGCAACCTATGAAGGCATCCAGAAGAAAGAAAATGCAAGGGTATTATGGGCATGCAGATGATGTGGCTGCAGTTTCAAATGATAACAAAAGATGCTGTTGTCCATTTAAAAAGTCGCCATGAATGTTAACGCAGAAAGAATTTAGTCCACTGAGATGGGAATCCTATGGTTCCTGAGCATGAGTCCTAGAAAAGTTTGGCTCTCTCCCTCCAGAGATGAAGCAAGAGGTCATCTACAGAATGGGAGATCTGATCTTGGATACCCCATTCCTGTGAAAGCAGTCCTTGCCTCTTCAGCACCCGAGCCCCAGTCCTGTAGAGGCAGAAGGGGTATGGGAAATAGCTTTGCAGGATTCAGTGTCCTCCACTACCCAGACGTGGCCTCATCGTGGGGTCACTGAGACAGCTAATTTCCCACTCATTGGGTCTAATGGAAGGGAATCAAGAGAAATAAAACAAACCCTAGAACAGGAAAAGGAAGGCAGGCAGGTCTTTGGAGTTGTTGGAGCCTCTGCTATCAGAATTCCCACCCCTGAAGCAAGGGTAGGATTGCTGTGCCCATGGCTTCATTTACACAGTGTTATTGACTCGTAGCTTTTCTACACAAGCATGTGTTGTGTGCTTGCCGTTCCTTATTCACAATTGTTTGCATTTAGCTGATGTGATCCCCCAGTTTCATTTCTGCTTTTCTGGGGGTTTTTTCTTTCCTTACTTATTTTTAGAATGGGAGAAATGAGCTATTAAATTCCAAGAGGGAAAAATGTTGTTATTGCCTGGTGTATTTGCAGTATGCTGCTATAGAATAGCTCTACCTAGAGGCTGTGTAGCAGAAAATCAGGAAAGAAAGAGCTCTTTGAGTGGAATTTATTCTCAATGCTGCAACAAAACCAAAAGTAGATACACTGATTAATAGCGCAATAAATGCTTCATGTAGAAAAGCCCTCACATATTGGTGTTCTTAGAGTGATAGACAAGCTACTATGAGAAGTAAAAGAAATCACATGGATAATGTGAATTTAAAAAACATCTATGAAATGTTTACTTCAGAAATTACAAGAATTTTCTGGGTCTTTCTCTACCTAGATATTCTCCAACAAAGGCAAAAGCTGCCAGTTATCAGTTCTTTTTACATCCACTAAGACTGCTCTTCTGTTCATAATGATCTTGTTCCATAAGTGATTCATTCATTTGTGGAAGATCATGAACTTGGAACCATGATTATAATTTGATTCTGACAGTGCACTGAACGCTGTGTTTGTTCCAGTTTTATCCCAAGTTCCCCAATCCGTGCAAGCAAGGTACTTCACTGCTCTTTGAATTCAGTCCCAATTGCTTGTTGTTAATTAACAGGGAACACCCATTAGCCCATGAACTCTCTTATTTGAGTTTCAATTGTAGTGAAGTTGAATTATTCATGTCGCAAGGTTCCTCATTGTTGCACTCTCATTCTTGAATGAATTCCAAGGAAGAGTGATAGGGCTCCAGCGCAGTCATTTATAATTAGAAACTGCTTGATCTGCTTGGCATTTCCAATATGGAATCAATTTATGTGGAACAGCTCCACTTTCCTTTGACTCAGCCTATGGAAATACAACTGGATCCATCCTTCCCCTCCATAGAATACCCTTTTTGGAGACTAAAAAAAAGGCATTTCTCTATATCCTTATCAGTGTGAACAGTTTTTGTAACTTGAAATTGTTTTAATAGTGTATTTAAATGGGACTTTTCATATTATTATTATATTATTATTATAACATTTCTATGCCGCCCCTTGCCGAATCTCTCTATGTGAACTGCTTGGGGTTTTTTTCTGTTATGTGATATATAAATATTATTAATAAATGATAGAGACAACTTCACCAACTTCATTCCTTACCATTGTATAGCGTTATCCTAACCAGTACTTTGTCAGTGCACTGATAAAACTTTCACATACTATTGTGATCTGTTTTGAAAGTAGCATTCTTTTAAATAGCAGTGACCAAAAAGATAAATGATGTACTTGACTCACTTTTGTAATGTTTTCTGAACAGCCACATGGTTCTTGGGCAGTTCAATGTCACAACTGTTACGGCATTCTCTGAGTAGATATGTCTTCCTTCTGTAATTTGAAATCACCCAGCATTATGTGGCCAGCAATGCATTTTTTCAATGCTGTATTAATTTTCTCTGCTTCCAATTGTGCTTGTGATAGACATGATTCTCGGATCACAAGTGTGTGTTAGAGTAACAAATATTAGTAAGAGGTTGAGGGCACAATCCTATAGACAGAAAGAAGTCATATTTTATTTCACTGGGGAGAGAGGAAAAGATTAAGAAGTTCTGATCTCAAAGCAGTGTTGTATGTTGTTTGGAAGTGAGGGATGAGAGGGAAGTTTGTTTGGCTCATGATGTACCAGGAGTGGCCAAAATTCTCCCCAAAAGTTGGAGGATGTTTTTCTGTCTAAATATGCATAGAGAATATGAAAACATGTAAGTAGGAACACGTCCTGAGATATTGTAACCCATCCCAAGAAGCTAGTGGTAGACAGGTTAGAAAAGCTTTTAATAAATAAGTCAACTTCTACCTCTTGGTTTCTAGATTTCTTGGAATCAGCCAGCATCAGATTTGCACAATTGGATTCGAGGGCATGATAAAGTACCTGGAGCTTGGGCTATGATTGACGGCCAGGTAAACACTGATAACAATATGAATATAGGTCAAGGTTAAACCAAACATGAGGATCAGAATGTTTCAGCTGCCATGCTGAAAGCAAATGAAGAATGATGTGGCAATCCAGCCAGTTTACAGTTATGGAGCAAGATATATTGATGATCAAGAACTGATCATATTTTGGCTTTATCTCTTAAACCAAAGTTCATGAAAAGCATATTTCTTTAGGATGAATTTGTTACTGGCTTTGAAATATTTTTGTTGTGTGAACTCTGAGACTGTCACCAAAAGAAAAAAGCAAATACTTCACCAACCACCTGGCAGATGTGTAAAGGCAACTTACTCTGACTTACTATTGATTGAAGTGTTTATGGATCCCTCCTCTCTTACAATAAAAAAACACCTGGATCTTTTTACAGATGGTTACCTTCTATGGGTCCTCCTTACTTGATGGCTCTGCCCCTCTGGGTGAAGAACTGGCAATAGAAGGTGCTCCAAAATCTGGTCTTGTAACTAAGAATGGGCTGGTTCTTTATGGCAGTGATGGAAAGATGGTAAGCTTTTCAGAAGCACAATACTAAATGACTGGGAAAATGGAATTCAGACAACATTGGTGAAAAAAAATGCAAATTTTATCATGTGCAAACTTTGTGACAGTATTGGCATCGGAGATTTGGGTCCAGATGTTTAGAATGAGGTGCCAGTCCCAGCTGTGGCTTCCTACCTTACTAGCTGCCTTTGTCTGTATTTCTTTTTCTCTAGTTGCTGGTAAGAAATCTACAGTTTGAAGATGGAAGGATGATTCCAGCATCTAAATATTTCTCCATGAATGAGATGTCTGCCTTAGAATTTACCGAAGAGGAGAAGAAGATGGCAGAAACTATCATGGTAAATTCTTGTTGTGTTTGAGAAGAGAAACTTTTTTTACTTTTTAAAATCTGACAGTGACTTCTTAAGTCTGCAGGTGGGGACTGTGTTGTTCTTTTAATTTCCAGGAAGACTTTAGGAGCATTCTAAAGAATGATTGAATTAATTAATTAATTAATTAATTAATGAGGGAAAGGGAAAAAAAGAAAAGAATCTATGCAATATCACCAGTAAGAATTCAAGACTATTGAACTATACCTACTTTTTGAAAACAATAATGAATGATTACAGTATACAGTATACTATAGACCATTCCTTCATTCCAAGAGAATTTCAGGTGCTTTCCACAAAAATGGGAAACAGGCCACTTGGGTTTATATAACTAGTACGCAGGGATATATTCTTTAAATGTATGCTGTCTGAAACCAAGCTTATTTACATTTGACAAAAATTCCAATAAAATGATTTCCACATAGAGTTTTGAATGTGTTTGAATATAATATTTGAACTATATCATGTGGTTCACTTAATTTCTCCCTAAACAAATATTTCAGTTCAAGTAAGTTGCAGCTATTGGCGAAAATGCTTGCTATATTTACCACACATAAAATTGACAGAGATTACATTTTTAGTTCTGCTTACTGAATAGGAGATATTTCCTGTGCTTATTGGGGGAGAATGTGTACTGGGGGTAAAAATGAGTCAAACAGTCATGCAAAATCAGATAACATTATTTAGAGAATTAGAACATTTCCCTTTTTCCTTCTGGAAAATCCACATCTCTGCTCCTCTACCAGCTGGTGTGCACAACCTGTGCAAGGCTGGCCCAATGCACAGGGCCGCCTGAGGTGAAGAGCAAGAAGGTGCTCCCTCTAGTTCCAGATGCAGAAGCTGACCGGAAGGTTAAATGAATCTGGATTGGCCATGAATGATGGGACAGCATCTTCCACTTCACCGTTGCGACAGGCAAAGTTAAGGGGCAGGCTGAATGACACGCTGCTTCAACCCCTTGTTGTGGCTTCCCAGTGTTTGCTGCCCGAGGTGACTGCCTCCCACCACCCAGGGGTGGGGCCAGCCTTGAACCGCGGCTCCCTCTGCCTCATGAGCAAGCGGCTCACCTAAGGGGTGCCGCAGGTAGAGAGCAAGAGCCTTTGGGCATCTAGGTGCACATGCGTGAGGCATGGAGGGTTGACAGCTTACAACCAGGAGCTGCTGGCCCAGAAACTATAGAACCTGGGACACCTATAGTGCCTGGCGCCAACACTTCATTCTTTCCAGCACCAGGCCAAAGCCTTTTTATTTTCCCAGTATTTTAAGATTTGACTATGATTTTAATGTGGGGTTTTATTGTACAGAAAACCAAGTTGGATGCTGTCTCCACTCTGTTTTATTGTAAGACCATCCTGAGACCTTGGTAATGGATGGTATATAAATGTTTTAAATAAATAGTGGGGGCCCAGTTCTAAGGTGTTATATTGTATAATTTGGAGTCTGCATGCATTATCAGTAATATCTCCCATTGTCTGAGGTATTTTCTGTACTTTGCAGTCCATTTGGAAGAGAATCTTAAGCAATGTGGCTGTAATTGAAGACACCACTAATTTCTTTAAATCTGGAGCATCCTCTATGGATGTTGTACGGTAAGTCAATGGCTGGGTGTACACATCACAGCAAGCAATGCCAGGCTGTTTCTGTGGTGTGCAGATTTTTGCCTTAACCTAGTGGTCAGATGGTTGCATGGTTCCCATAGCAACAGAGTTTTCACTCCTTCCGCTCTGCCCTGTTCTCTGGATCTCCCCATGCATCCCAGAAGCCCCAGAAGAACCCCTCCTGCACTGCATTCTTCTGTGGACCTCAGATGCTTCTTCCTGATTGGTCCACTGAGGTTTTGAGGAGGGTGGATTGGTCAAACCAATCCTCCCAAGTGTACCTGCATTTCTGCAATGCTTCCTAGCCACTGCTGCCCCTATTTTTAAAAAAAATTAAATAAACACTTTTCCTATGATTTCCCCCATCAGACAGTAAATTGTTCAGCCAACAGGATCAAAGGGAGTGATGATGTGTGCTGCTCAGGAGCTGAGTAGCAGCAATTGGATGCTTAGCACAGCTTCTTCCACTGCTGCTCTTTCCATGGGACTCTATGGTATTTCCTTACCACCAATGGGAAAAATGGAGTCCCTGGGTCTGGGCATCAAAAGAAGCAACAATGCAGTATCAAAATCTTAGAATGCACCATTGAATCTCTCTGTGGTTTTGGGAAGCCATGCTGAAACATGGGTTTTGTACCATGCTGAAACACCGCAACTGAGTTCTCATGACATGGCAGAAAATCAACAATAGATGTCACCATGGCTTCTTGCAATGTGCAAACCTGGACCTGCTGTTTAAAATGAAAAGATTCCAAAATTCCAAATCAAAGGTACAGACTTGAGCAGGGTTATTGCGGTGGGGGTGCAGTTCAGTGGCAGAGCTCCTGCCTTGCTTGTAGGACGTCCCAGGTTCAATCACTGGCATCTCACGGTGGGGCTAGGAAGTGCCCCCCCGCCAGCTGCTTCATTGTCCTTGAAGTAGTCAATGCACAAATGAAATGAAATGAAGGCTTAAGGGAATAAAAAAGTCAGGAGGGCAAAATTAATCAAAAATAGAAAACTTAAAAATGGGGGGAAAAAAACCCAAACGCTATCCCATGTATTTTCCCCAAATCTCTGGGCAAAATGGGAAAAGAGGGGTCCATTGTTTTTCTTCTCTGCGCTTCTTCTCTCCAGATCTTCATGGCTCTGAAACAGGTGTGACTGCCCCATCTCCCTCCACCACAACATCCAATTTGCTGTTGAATATACCAACTTTTCACTTTTTCAATTTCTTTATATCTCAAGGATGATTGAAGAGATCAAGCAAAAATGTGATGGGCTTGAGCTCCAGAATGAAGATGTCTATATGGCTCCTAAGTTTGGAGATTTTATCCAGATGGTAGTCAGAAAACACAGGGGGGAAGATGCAGAGGAAGAATTCGTAATAGATTATGTAAGCTGCTTTTAAATCCCACCTTTTCTTATGTGATATATTAGCAAAGTGCCCCTGTGTGGGTAGGCAATGGGTGTGTGAAGAAAAGGAGGCAAGGACCTCACTTGGGTTGTAGAACATCTCTATGCGATTCACACATCAAGACACGTTGCACTTGCCTGCAGGATCTCTCTGTGAGTCTCAAGTTATACGTGATGCTATCAGATCCCCATCTTAAACATAATCCCACTTCAGTCATCTGTAAAGTAGGGGAGGAGTATCAGTGGGATGTAAAAGCAGGCAGGCTGGCAACCTGCATCCAGCAGAATGGGGAAGATGCTATGGTCTAGAGGCCCTGGAGGACTTGCTTCTGCTGATGCCAATCTTTCTTTTTAATTCTTCCTTTTTTTAAAATGGATGTGCCTGCACATCTTAGGATATTATATGTGGCAAGCATTCTGGACTCAATAAGCAAGATGATTCTTAAAATTAACTGGAAAAACAAGAATGCATCAAGCAGTCAAGATATGGGTGTCCTTCTGACACTCATTTGGTCATGGAGGTTTGCAGTAGACCTTAGGATCAAGGTATTTGGATTGATCAGGGTGCAATCCAATGGGGATTCCCAGCTCCAAGGTCAGAAAAGAGCATCGACCTCAGAGCTGGGGTTCCACACTCATTTTATCTGCCCCACCCCCTGGAACATCCTCTGTATCCTTCTCTGAGGTTGCTCTTACAACCTTGGACATGTAACTGGTGTGTTCTTTCTGTACCATCTGCAAAAAGAGGTGGGGACCCTGAGTGCTGAGTTCAGAACCCTTTTCGGACCTCAGGACTGGGAATTTGAAAAATCACACAGGCCCTTAAACATGGTCTAGGGTCCACTGGATAGCTCTGCCCAATATTCAGAATATTCTGAAAGGAACTCTAGTTGTGATTTTATTTTTGATTTACCAATCAAACCTGAACATCTCATATGTTCTCAGCCTAATATGGAGATGCTCAATGGATCGTGCTTGTCTGAAATGTTATGGATAGTACCTTGCACAGGAAGGTGTGGTTCATGTACGTTAGCTGCCTGAGAGCGTCAAATGAAGCTTGTGGCTTGTTTTGCTGCTAGGTTATAAAAGATGTCAACAAGATGACTGTGAAGATGCCATATCAGTGCTTTATCAATGGACAGTTTGTGAATGCTGAAGATGGTAAAACATACGACTCTATCAATCCAACAGATGGATCTGTGAGTACATAGCCTGCTCACTGTCTTTTCTGAGTTCTTCATAAACGCCATGGATGCTGTGTTGCAATTGTTACTAGTTGATAGGCAGATAATGCCATTTTGTCACATAACCTCTCTTGGAAAGATGGGGGCTGAAAATCTAGTTTTGCCTGACCACAGGGAGTAACAGCTAATGGTATCCAATCCATTCTTTGTCAGTGTCTAGATGACCATTGACAGTGTGCTTGTTCAACACCCAGCTCCTGGATGTCCTGGTACCAGTAGTCCATGAAATTATACTTGGCATTAAAGACTCACTTCTATGCACATTTAGACAGAACAAGAGTGCTACAACCCCCAGCATTCCTTAGCTAACCATGGCAGGCTGGGAAATGTTGGGAACTGTGGGACATTTTTTTTTCAAAACATGTCTAGGATTACACCTTAGACTGCATGAAGAGGAAACATTGCAGATAATTTGGCAGCGTTTTCTTAAACTCTATCTTGAGCAAAAAACAATGCTGGTATCTGCAGAAATACAACACCCCACACAAGCCAATTCAAAGTGCTGGTTATGACCTATAAGGCCCCTTCTCCCACCTGAGCCTGCCTGGGTTTTAGACGTTCAGTGAAGACCCTTCTCTCGCTCCCAGTGCCATCAGAGGCATGCAGGACCATGGCTTCTTGGCTCAGTTGCCCTTGCACTGGCAGGTGAAGGCTCTTTCATGTAGGTGGGGCTTTGGCATGTAATCTGGTCTGTTGATAAAGGATTCTTTAATTGGTTGGGTGCTCTTTCTTTTAGTGATCAGTTTTAATTGTGTTTTAATGTACATTTCGTGTTTTTATTAAGATTTTCTTTTTAATTTATATTTTATTCTTTGCCATCTTGAGTGAAAAGGTGGGATGTAAATAAAATAAATACCTTATTTGCTCTCATTTCTCCTTCCCTTTTTTCCCCTTTTATGTTCCACTCTGAGCTTTTGCTCCTTTTCTCTCTTTACCCACCTGCTCCATTCTTTTTCTCTCCCTTTCCCTCATCCCCATAAAGTCGATACTGTAGCAAGCAACTTTCACTAAGACAAATAACATAAAATTATCAACCTGGAAATCAGAGGCGTGGACAGATGCAGGGAGGAACTAGGAAGTTTGTACTTAAACTTGTACTGTGCCCATTGCTGAAAAATAGAAGGACATAAAGGTGCAAGTCTAGGATGGGAACAAAGTAATCCAACTCTAAGCCTGCCCTATCCAGCCATGCTGACTAGGGCACGAAAGGCTTTTTTTCTGTCTAAACATGCATCAGTGTCCATAGAAATACTGATACTAGTATCTGAGCTTGCATCTCCCTCTCTTAATGACAGGTGATTGCCAAAGTGTCCTTTGCTACAGTGAGCGATGTTGACAAAGCAGTCGCAGCAGCAAAAGATGCCTTTGAACACGGTGAATGGGGAAAGATGAATGCAAGAGAAAGAGGGAGGTTACTGTACAGGTATGGCTTGCTTAATAAACCTGGTACATTTCTGTCTTGTAAGTCTATTGCTGCTGCCTCTGAAAAAATTGTGATGTGCCCCATTGGGCTGTAGCATGGTTGTTCAAGATAGCAATTCCCACAAGCCCATCCCCTCTGCAAAGAGAAACCGTGTTCCGCATCATTCATAATTTGCACAGATAAGCTATGATTTAAGCCTCAAGATGCATCCCATTTGACTATCACATGACCATTTAAGACCATTATGCAAACAGTGATTTAAAAATCATGCTGTGTCCCAGCATGCCCATTTAAGATAGATCTTTCCACAGGCCCGTATCCTGTGTGTATCCTGCAAAGACAATGTTTATTCTTCATCCTGCACAGTTTATGCAAACAAAGCAATTTTGCACTTATTGGCACCCTTATTCTGCCTTTGCCAAGTGCGGGGATGGGTGAAGGGCCGGAACGCCACTTATGAGCACCTGCCACAACAGCAACAGCCTTCACGCATTCACTGAACCATGTGCATCGCTACACTACTGCTCAAGAGGCTTAATTAGGTTTGGAAGCGGCCTGGTGATGAGCACAGGAGCCAGGTCCTCCTATCTGGAGCCAGGGCTGCTGCTCCCTGCCACGCCATTGCCAGCAGTTTATGGCGAATGTGAGATGACTGACACAGCCCCCCCAACCTCCCCCCCCCAACAGAGCAGAAAGCCTTATGGCCCCTAGGCGGCATCTGAGGGGACAGGGATTTCCCCTTTCAAGACTGTAGACAGAACTGCAAACCTGGAGGGGGAGAGCTGAGTGCAGCTTACTCTCCCAAGCCCATCTGACCCCCCAAAGAAAACTCCATGGCCATTCCATCTCTTGAGGCTGGAGTTCTGAACTCAGGAAGAGGAAGAAGGAGCAACAGGGCATGTTGGTGGGCAGGGAAAGAACGGCCGTCTGTCCCCTGGATCCAAAGACCTTCCCTACCACCAGCAAGATGAGCGAGTTCGACCCGGCCTGTCGAATGTCAAATGGATTTCAGGTTGGAGAAATTCCTCCTGCCATGTTGCTGGGAGAACATTGGATGCTTCAGAACTCCCACGTCGTATGAGAGGACTGGTGAAGGCAAGTTGTGCTTCCCCACTCCTGCTCTCTGCATTTTCGCTGGCCAGTCATTGTCAGAGCAGGAGGGAAAGAGGCTGGAGTGAAGTTGTAGATTGCAAGCTAAATGAGAGCTAGCCATGCAATGCAGCTGCAAAAAGGGCCAATTCTAATTTGGGCTGCGTTAACAGACGTATCACTTCCGAAACACGTGATGTACTGGTTCCCCTATACTCAGCACTAGTCAGACCTCACCTGAGTACTGTGTCCAGTTCTGGGCACCTAAGTTTTTAAAAAACGCAGAAAAGCTGGAAAGAGTACAGAGAAGGACAACAAGGATGATTCAGAGACTGGAGATAAAGATCTATGAGGAAAGACTGAGAGAACTGGGCATGTTTAGCCTTGAGAAGAGAAGACTGAAAGGTGATGTCACAAAGAGTAAAGACAAGATCTCTTCTTATTCATTCCAGAGTGCAGGACATGGAATAATGGACGTAAGTTAAAAGAAACCAGATTTAGGCTAGACACCAGGAAAAATGTCTTTATTGTCAAAACAGTACAACAATGGAACCTATTACCTGAAGAAGTTGTGGGTACCTCCCTGGCTAGAGATAGTCAAAAAGCATCTGGACAGTGGGATACTGTAACTTGGTGTCCTGCAATAGCAGGGGTTGGACCTGATGGCCTTCTGGCCCCTTCCAACTTTACTCTTCTATGATTCTATGACTTCAGGATGGCTCCCAGCTTCTCCCTTCTCCCTGAGCCATTCTCCCTCTTTGCTCCTTCTCCAAGGTTGCTCTCCCAGTCTTGGAGAGCAGCCAGTGCAGTTGTTTCCTTGCCAGCTGCACAGGGGTTGAACCTCTGATTCCCAGCTGAGATCAGAGTATGGACTCTCACCTCGGAACTGGGTATGAAGTCATCCTATGGCCACATAGACAATGTCTAGGGGACCAAAGGGTTGTCTCCTTAAGATATGCAATCCTATGCATGTTGAGACAGAAGTCATACTTCTCCCTGCATAGCTGGCTGGGGCAGGTGGGGAGTTGTAGGACCTTTTTTTTTCCTTCTAAGCATGAATAGGATTGCACTGCTAGTGACTTTGGTGTACCAGAACAGCTACTCTTTCCCATAACTCGGGGAGACCCTTGTATAGATAGGGTTGTTGCGAGAAAATGTTACTTGATCCATATCATCCATATGTACATTCTCAAAAGAAATACAATGAGCTTAGAACAGTGGTAAGGAACCTGTGGCCTTGAAAATGTTGCTAGAACTCCTGATCATTGCCCATGCTGTCTGAGGCTAACGTGCCTGAGAGACCAGCAGCAACGGGAGAGCCACAGGCTCCCCACCCTTGGTAAAAATGCCATTGCCATCTTCTGCCACAGGAGATCTCACCAACATTAACATTATCACACTACAAATACAACATGGTTTCATTCATTAAGTTTTCATGTTTCCTTTGCAGGGATGACTGGAAGTCCCCTGTTCCATTTTGTTCTTGTTCCGTCAGGTGGCTCTGTCCAGAGTTGTGCACCACCTCATCTTCCAGTTTAACCTGGAGAATTTCTAAAATCAGTTTCAGCATTCCTGTGTGCATGGTATAAACTACAACAAGCAAAGCAAATGAGGAATGATAGTATGCCATGAACAATTCCCAATGTGTTCCCAGTATCTTCTTCCCAGGAACAGGTTTGGGGCCGGGGACCAACTTTCCACCAGAGATGTGAAAATCCAGAAAAATGGTGGGGAGGAAATTTTTGATTTCAATTTCTGCAAAACTGAACAGCTTCAGAATATGAAATACTTTATTTCAGAATTTAAAATAAGGTGTTTAAATATTATTTTGCAGCCTTCACCTTGTCAAAAAAATTCTAAAAACTATGCTATAGGAATTTGCTATTCTCTGTTTTATTGTTTGGCTTTTACTCAGCAAATTGTTCTCCAGAAAAACTAGTTTGGGACATGTATTTTGCTACTAGAATAACTCTGCTTGCAATCATGTCAATTTCTGATTTACCCTGTATGTGTATTTGGTTCTGTTGAAAGACTTGCAGATCTTGTTGAAGAATACCAAGAAGAGCTGGCAACCATTGAATCTATTGACTCAGGAGCTGTTTACACACTAGCTTTGAAGACCCACATAGGAATGTCAGTGCAAACATTCCGATACTTTGCAGGATGGTGTGACAAAATACAGGCAAGCTAATATTTGAACTGGCATAGAGACTTAGGGAGCAAAAAGAAGATTGTGCTTTTCTACACTCTGGTCCTTTCCAACAGATTAACATGGAGTGCCATAAATAGATGCCCGTTAATCATTTGTTATCTGAGAAAAAGATAAGCCCTCCCAAGACATTGGCTTCTTTCCATGTGAGGCCAGCATCAAGGATAGGCATGTCTGGACACCTGCCAGGGACCCCAAGCCAGAAGGGTCCCTCTGATGAGAATCCCCTGATGCTGCTCTTCCTCTTCAGCTTGACAAACTGCTTGTTCCTCTGCCTCTCGTTCTGGCCCAGACACTGGTGGTGAGGAAGAAGACGAGCAGGAATCCCTGCCTACTTGCTCACCGGCTCCCTGCCTGTCAAGCAAATGGGTTCCATGATGAGAGAGGATGAAGGGCAACCACAGCCGGTGACAAAAGCAGTGAGACAGTAGACTCTGGGAGGGGGGTCATTCACAGTGTCTTATGCAAAGAGCATCTAAAACCTGGAACTGGAATGTTGTCCAAGCTGAAAGTGAGAGACACCCATAGAAAGGTCTAAGCAGCAAGTGCAGAGTCTCTTAGCAACTCAGTTGGACAAGAAATCATATGAGAGGGAGAGGGAGAGGGAGAGCGAGCACGAGCGAGCAGCATTGGTGTCCCTGATCTGCCTGTAGTCTCTCTCTAAACCAGAGTGAGGAAGCTGGGAAGTAAATCTTCATTAGATATTCCTCACGTTGCAAATTCAAGATCTGACACACCTTCCCCAGTGTTCAAATTCCAATAACTTCTCTGGGGGAAATGCAGGAATTGCTATACCTTAATGGTGCTACTGTAATAGGTGCTGTGTGGGATGTGATCGAACAAGTGTCACAGGCTTTGACAAGTCTTTGGCTTGGACAAGTCCCAGGTGACACTCACCTGCACAACCAGCCACCCATCTGACACAGCCTTCTCCAACTTGGCATCCTTCAGATGCATAGGTACTTCTATGTGGAGTAATCATCTATCTTTTGGGTTTTTTAAAAGTCTCAGTGCATTTAGGGACAAATTTAGGCTAAGCTCAAAAAACACAGTGTAATAGAGGTTTATAAGAAGGGCCACAGTGAAGAGGTGAAAATGGTGGTGGGTGACAATGATACATTTCATGAATTTATTATTTATTTTAGTTATCTGTTAACTTTATATCCTGTCTTTCCTCCAAGGAGCCCAAGGGGACACTCCCAGAATCCTTCTCCTCTCTGTTTTATCTGCACAGCAAGCCGTGAGATACGCATCCTTACCGGCGCTTGCCCGTTGGAATGTTTTCAGAGACATTACAGAACAGTGATCGCGTTGCTCAGCCTTCTGTGACTTGGTGTGCTCCAAATGTCTTGGACTGCAGCTCTCATCAATGCCACCCAGCAAAGCCAATTGTCCTGTTTGCTGGGAATTATAGCAGTTGGAATCCAAAACATCTGGATGCTACCTAGTTAGGGAAGCTCAGCTTAGTTTTTAAAAAAGTGATTGTATAACTGATTTATTTTTCATAGTACTGCTATTTAAATGACTGTTTTCCTCATTTAGGGTTCAACCATCCCAATTAACCATGCACGTCCAAACCATAACTTAACTTTTACTAAGAAAGAGCCTTTAGGGTAAGATGATGATATTTATTTCATTAATGCAACCAGACTGGAATGAACTTTTCTTTTACTGTTGGCAATTTTATTTGGCAAACTCAGTTTTGTTTCTGCATTTTCCCTCTGCTCCTCAATCTAAAGCGTCTGTGCAATTGTCATTCCCTGGAATTACCCACTGATGATGCTGGCATGGAAGAGTGCGGCATGCTTGGCTGCTGGCAATACGCTAGTTCTGAAACCAGCACAGGTAAGACCAAGCAGGGCAATGAGGCCCTGCTACTTGACAGTCCTGTAGCATTTCCATCAGGGGTTGCCACTGTGTAGCCAGCTGCAGGTCTTAATAGCAAATGCATCAAGAAAGGGCTGGTGGAAAGAATGGCCTTGCAATACAGGAAATAGCATGGAAGAACACATTCAGTGGGTCAGCAGCATGTTAGATTTGCATGTCAAGGAAAAGTGGCATCTCAAAGACAAGATACCACAAACACCTTAAAGGTTTATGACAACAGTGCTGTGGACTTTTTCAAGAATAACAAATTGATTAAGTAAGCCAAATTCTGCCATTTTTCCTGTTACTATTTTGTCTCTTTCTACTTTTCTTTATTTAGCTTCCTGTTCTGCTTTCCTCCACTTTCTTTCTTTCATTTTTCCATATATGTTCTATGGACAATTCATCATGGCACACAAAACAGGCATCTTTATGTCATGAAATAAATATCAGGATTTGTGTGGTAGGTTGAACTGTCAGCATAGAGAGATATTTCTTTGTTTGCAAAGGAGGCGGACATGAATGTTTCCTCTGCTGCTATATTTATTTTTAAAAAAATCAGCATAATCCTATGCATGCCTACTCAGACATAAGCACCATTAAGTACAGTGGGATTTAATTCCAAGTAACTGTGTAAAGCTAGGGTGACTCCTTTGTCAGTGGGGCTGCTTATCTTTTGGAACTCATATTTTAAGCTTTGCAGGAGCTCTCTGTGGTTATGAATCCATTTGGAGGTTGTTCAGCTCCATGTAAAATGCAAAATAAAACAGATGAGGGATCCCACTGTTGTAGGAGTCAGCAGCCTCCCTTGTGAGCAGAGCACAGCTGATAGAAAGAAAGCATGATGACCCATTCACTACTGAAGGACCAGATTGCAAAACTATGCTGCAATAAGATTGAGAACCATTTTTTATTTTTTTAGGCTTGGATCCAGATTTAGTCATACTTAAAGTAGACTTATTGAAAGCAAAGGGACACAAGTCAATCATGCCCCACCTGTAAGTATGACTAAAACTGGATCCAGTGCCTAAGGAATGTTAAAATGCTATAGAACTGCTAACATGGTAATATAGTCGCACTTAGTAGTAAAATAGCATGGCTTTATGGTGGTGATCATAATGTTATATTTATTGCAATGCACATAACCTATAAAATACATTCCATTAAAACTTTCAACACATGTATGCCTATAATGACAGGCAGGCTGGCTGATTAAACTGTGTGTTTGGACCTAGGTCACGCCACTGACTGCTTTGAAGTTTGCAGAGCTCTCTGTGAAAGCAGGATTTCCCAAAGGCGTTATCAATATCCTACCTGGTTCAGGTAGAGCAGTGATGTAAACGTTCTTTTCTGTTCAAAGCATAGCTTCGTTGGAATATAGTGTAGTTAAAACAACAACTCAAAATTCCACCAAACTTCACTAATTAAATTTACCTATGTATTACAGGTGGTTTAGTAGGTCAACGCTTGTCTGAACACCCAGATATTCGTAAACTTGGTTTCACAGGCTCAACACCAATTGGGAAACAGATCATGAAGAGGTGAGGCATTCCTTGTATTTTTACCATCCTTTATTTCTGCATGTTGTACATTTGTTAAGGTATACTTAACACAAAAAGGAGGCCACAAAATTCCACCTCATCCAGCAGTTGTAAAAAATATGGACAAACTTATTTGTGGATTATTTTATAAGTCCAAACCATTTTATAATATATACTTGGGTGCTAAAATGTCTCACACAAAAGTATACATCTGGAATGTCAGAAATCGCAAACCATTTCACACACTACTCTGCAATTTCTGGGTTGTTTAATTCAGGAATTGCTAGGGACAAGTGAAGTAACAAGTGCTTTTGTTGCAGGGTTAACTCCAATTTATCAAACCCATAGTTTCTGGCTTTGCACATCATCAAACAGGAATAGGGAATTCTTAGGTTGTTAACTGAATGTCGAAATGACAAGCAGATCAGAGGCAATGCCTATAACTTTACACATCTCTGGGAGTTCCTGAGTTAAACAATTCTATCATTGTAACTAGCTCAGCATCTCAAAATATTCAAACACCCATAGCCAGAAACACATTTTCACAGGAGGGGAAATTTTCCTTTCAGTATGTTTGCTCCTCCCTGTTGAATACAGAATAACCAGCACATTATGTATTGCTTTACAAAGCTATTATTTTTATTTTCAATTCAAAATCAAAAATTGTGTTTTAAACTCAAACTGTTAACATTACTGAAAACAAGAGCTAGTGTTTTTGGTGTTGTGGGTTTATTTGGTGTTGTGGCCCCATTATCAAAACTAGTGTGATAGACATTCCTCCTGAGACTCAATGGTTTTTGGTGGGGGTGGAGAGGATTTTATCACCAGATTACTACAGACTGAGGTGGGCTGGAGCCTCCAAACTCAGTCAAGAAGCTCATTCAGTGCTGAATGGGAGGAGCCATGGAGGCCATTTTCACCTCTCTGCTCCCCCTGCCCTGCATTTGCGCTAGGTGGCTGTTCTTGGCAGCAACTTCAGGATACCGTCTTCTGCTCATCACTCTCCCAAATGCTCCCTTTCCCTCCTCCCTGGAGCTGCTTTCCTGACCAATGTAGTTCAAACCAGCTGTGGGGGTTGAGGGCTCAGAGCTCTGATTCATGTCTTTGAGCTCAGAAAGCTGCCTCCCATCTCAGAGTCAGTAGTCCAAAGCATGCTAGGACCCCTCAGACAATAGAAATGTTGCAGAGAATCCCTTATTTGGTCCCCACTGTCTCTATGCATGTTCCCATCCAAAAGAATGCAGTGTCTAGAGGCGATGGGATCACCCACCCAGACCGGTTTTCCTCAAAAATACCAATGGATTATTTTTACCCAATATCTAACACTGGTTGTAGATCCCTCACTTGCAAAATCAAGAGATACTTGACATAATTTTTGCCCATGGGTGTGTTTTGTTTCTAGAAAGAAAAGGATAATTGGGAGTACCAAGGAAACATTTTGTAGGCACTTACAGACAACAAGTTCTGGGCAAACTTTGTTGTAGATGTGTACAACTTTAAACACTTTTGGAGTACCTATGTAGCTTCCCTTCTTGTGGCAGAGTTTTAAATTACATGTTTACTAAGGAGCACTTACATCCATATATGCCCAGCCGCCCCCTGAGATCAGCAGGAGAGGCCCTTCTCCAGGAACACTCCGTGAAAGAAATTAGGAGGGTGGTTACTCGGAGGAGGGCTTTCTCTGCGGTGGTGCCTAAGTTATGGAACGCGCTCCCCAGAGAGGTCCGCCTGGCGCCGTCGTTATTTGTTTTTCGGCGCCAGGCGAAGACCTTTTTATTTAAGCAACATTTTAAATGTTAATACCACTGAATTTTATCTGGCCAGGGTGGCTTATTTTATATTGTGTGTGTATGTGTGTGTGTGTGTGTGTGTGTGTGTATTAAATTATTATTATTATTATTCTAATGTATATATTTTAATTTTTATTTATGTGGTTCTAATTTATTGTTGTAACCTGCCCCAAGGCTTTGGCGAATGGGGCGGCATAAAAATGTTTTAATAAATAAATAAATAAATAAAAATAAATAAAAAATAAGCACATAAATAAGTTTATAATGTATGTATGTGTGTGTGCATGTGTGTATATGTGTGTGCATGTATGTGTGCTCACTAAATATTGGGGAAAATGGTACTGGATTCTGAATGCTTGCCACTTATTTATTTCATCATTATCATCATCCTAGCTGTGCTGTCAGCAACCTAAAGAAGGTTTCTTTGGAATTGGGTGGAAAATCCCCACTGATCATATTTAGTGATTGTGAACTTGACAAAGCTGTAAGAATGGTGAGTTGGTTTTTCAGCACAATATCAACAGCTGTTTTAAAAGTGTGTTGAGTTCCAGAGAGGCAGGGCGCTAAGCGATGTAAAAGAAAAGCCATACCAGGCAAATGCGGCCCACATGTTGCTCACCCTTTCTCTAGATAACAGTGATGTTCACTATCCTCAAATCTAATAAAAGAAAGAGCAGCATTAAAATGTTTCAAATAAATTAAACCCAAATGTTCTGTTTTTCCCCTTTATAAAGCATTAAACACTTACAGAAAGCCAGTACACTGTGAAGAGGGATGCCTTCTTTCCCCAGTTTTAATGAGAGCAGCTATTACTGATGGTACTGAAGCATCTTGTCCTGCTAAGCAAGGAATGGGGCCAAAACCACTGGAAGGCAACCAGCAGGCCAGACTGAGCTTTGCAAGGACCTCCGGTTACCAATCATCACTCATTTTTGTGTGATGAGTACAGTTTTTGCTGTATTAGGATGCTCCTATGCCAATGTAAATAACACTGTAGAGATGGGAGAAAAGTTCACATTTGCTTCAAGTAAACATAATTTCCTTAACCAAATATATGTTAATGATTGGAGGAGCAAATTTCATGGATCCAAATCTAACCAAGGGAAAACGTTTGTTCTTTCGTAATATGTGCCTTCTGTTTCATATAATAAAATCTTTAAGTGGTTTAGGGAGCAATCCTTTGGATTCCCTGCCCTAACCTCAAAGCTGTGTGGGAACTGGGGTGCTGACCCTCCAGCCCTCTCAGACAGTGCAGGATGAATTGGGCTTGCTGCCCCTCTGAGGTCAAAAACACAAAGTGGGTATTTTGGTGGGTGAGGAGGGAAGGAGACTGACTGGAGGGCCAGGATACAAAATCCAGTGTGGTGTAGTGGTTAAGAGTGTGGGACCGGGTCTCAGGCAATCTAGTCCCCCCTCAGTCATGCAGTTTACTGGGTGACTTTGGGTCGGTCACAGATGCTCAACCCAACCTACCGTACAGGGTTGTTGTTGTGGGAATAAGATTGAGAGTAGCAGAAGGAGCATTATGCAAAAGTCTTTAAAATAAAGAATTCCTTAAAAGGAAAAAAGGGCAGGATATAAAATAAATAAATAAACTGAGCTACCTCTTCAATATCTTTCCCTCCTCTTTCAAAACACATCAGCTAGCTAGGCCAAAAAGAAAAAAAGAAAAGAAACCCTCTAGAGAAACTGCAAGGCAGGAGGAGTTCAAGATCACATGCACACAAAAAAGAGATCATTGCCGTGGATTATTCTTTTCTCTCCAATACAGGGCATGGGAGCAGTTTTCTTCAACAAAGGGGAGAACTGCATTGCAGCTGGTAGACTTTTTGTGGAAGAATCCATTCATGATGAATTTGTTCAGAGAGTGGTAAGGAGTTTTAAAAGGGACAGGTTGTAAGTCTTAATTTTCCATTACTATAATGGGACTGCAGCTTTCATCATGCCCAGCCAACATGGCCATGAAATGATAGAAGTTGCAGTCTCACGCTTTGGGAGGATGCCAGGTTACAGAAGGCTAGTTACACTTAAGTAAACAGAGCTAAGTCAGTGGTTGGCATGTTGCTCTGGGACTTGGGAAATCCAAGTTCTAATCTCCACTCGGCCATGAAGCTCACTGGATGACTGGGCCTAACTTACCTCACAGTCACTGGGTTGTTGTGAAGATAAAATGGTGAAGAAGAGAACCTTGTAAGTTGCCTTGGCTTTCTTGCAAGAGGAAGAAAGGCAGAGTATAAATGTAATATAATAATAGTAAGCCCTATTTTCAGGATTTTCAGTTTTCATGACCTTTTTGAAGTGGCAGAATAGTTGTACACACAAGTACATTAGTTTGTAAAGTGTCTGTGCTTACCAAGTGTAACCTTAAGGCTATAATGAAAGCTCAAGTTATGGTGAGAACCTGTGCTGGAGTCAGAGCCGCTGTGGCTGCTGCTTATACCTCCTCCTGCATAAAATCATTTTGCATAGTTCTGAACCCCATTATATCTCTCCCTCTCATGAAGATTCCAAGATTCAGGAAGACAAACTGCGAAGAACAAAACCATAAAGACATTTATGGACTTTATACTGACACATGGCAACCTGCAATGTCATTGGAGTTGTATGGATTTTGTTAAATCCACTCCATCTGTGCTTTGCAGGCATTGTCAGGCACCTTTTGCTCCATTGTAACTCATTGACAGAAATGGATCTTTTGTTAGGCATGAACAAGAATTTAGATGTTCATTGTGCGAGTGGGCTTCAGCACTGATTAAAATTTGTACAAATACTGCCATTCTCCCCAAGTTAAAACAAAAAAAGAATCTGCAAGTCTGAGGAACCCCTGGAACTTGGGAAAGAATCTTGCTGCAGAAGCTGCAGGTCAGATTCATGGAAATCCATACTCATTTGAATTCACTGTGGATTCCTCTGGCATCCCTAGATGTCAAAATGCAAGATGTCACTGCGGCACACTGAACATAATTGTCCAAGATAAATACTTCAAAAGGGACACCAAATATCAGCTGCCAAGGCTAGGAGGTTCTGGGGACAGTGAACGGACCATGGTAGTTTAAAAAAAATCAATATAAAGCTATTCCAGGACATGGTACTTTGTATTATTGCAGAATGCACACTTTTATCCTAAGAGATTTACAACTGCCGCAAGTGTTTTCTGAGATTTCTTCTTGAACCAGTAGATATCATCTTGCCCATTGGTGGTGACCTATGGTACTTGTGCCACAGTGGGCATGCAGAGCCTCCTCTGTCAGCATGCAAGCCAAGTCGCCCCAGCATCACCCCAGCAGCTGAGCATCGGATAACAGCGCACACAGGGGCCATGCACATGCTCAGAAAGGAGTAGCAGCGCCAGGCGAGGATGTCACGAGCCATGACTCATTAGCCGCAACTCATCCGAGCTTTTGCATGGCCAGTCAGTGCACTGCCAAGGATATATATATTTGCTTGGAGTGCCTGTGAGTTGTTTTTTCTAAACTAAAACATAAGTTTTCAGGTATAATTGGAGTGCTGGCACTTTGCGAAAAATGTTGGTTTTGGGTTGCAGTTTGAACACTCTGTCTCTAAAAGTTTCATCATCACGGGGTTAGGGTTAGAAAAAAGAGGTGTCCTGGCATGATATTGATGGTTGGAATGTGTTTAGGATGGGCAGAAATGTTGAGCTGTGCAGAAAAGGCTACTCAAGGAAGGCTTTTTCAAAATGGTCCTACTTTCAACAGAACATTAGCCATGTATTAGGGTTAGGGTTGTGCACCAGGGTGAGGTCAGGGTTAGAAAAACGGGGTGTCCTGGCATGATATTGATGGTTGGAATGTGTTTAGAATGGGCAGAAATGTTGAGCTGTGCAGAAAAAGCTACGCAAGAAAGGCTTTTTCAAAATGGTCCTATCTTCAGTGGAGCTTTACTCCTATATTAGGGTTAGCAAAGTGCGCCATGGTAGGGTTAGGCCAGTGGTGGCAAACCTCTGGCATGCTTGCCGCAGCAGGCATGCAGAGCCCTCGTTGTCGGCTTGCGCGCCAAGTCACCTCTGCTTCACCCCAGCAGCCAAACATCGGATAACAGTGCACACAGGGGCCATGCACATGCTTAGAATGGAGTAGCAGCACCAGGCAATGATGTCACGAGCCATGACTCATTAGCCGCGTCTTCCGAGATTTCTCAAGGCCAGGCAGTGAGATTTCCAAGATTTCTTCCGAGATTTCGCATAGCCAGTCAGTGCATTGCCAAGGGGATACATATTTATTTATTTATTTATTTATTTATTTATTTATTTATTTTATTTATTTATTAAAACATTTTTATGCTGCCCCATTCGCCGAAGCCTCGGGGCGGCTTACAACAGTTGTTGCTGCTGTTGGCGCGCTCCTCCAGCGGGCTTTCTAGCCGCAGGCCCTGCGTCGCCCCGCCTCGTCCGGAGCACGCCTGCCACACGTGCTGGGGCGTGGCGGAGCAGCCAGGTGGGTGGTGGATGGTGGCGCGGCAAGGCAGATTCATGCGCCCCTATCTGGAGAACGACTGCCTTGCGACAGTGACACATGCGTTGGTGACTTCCCGTCTGGACTTCTGTAACGCGCTCTACGTGGGTAGCCCCACGTAGAGCCCCAAACATAATTGTTTGGACTGGCTGTGAGGTGTTTTTTCTAAACTAAATCTCAGTTTTCAGGTTTTATTGTAGTGTTGGCACTTTGCAATAAATAAGTGGGTTTTGGGTTTCATTTTGGGCACTAGGTCTCTAAAACGTTCGCCATCACTGATCTAGCCTGTGTAGCATAATTTGTACACCTGGGAGTGGGACTGAGGGAATTTGTGGGAGTGGGGAAGAAAACAGCAAGCTCATTGAAAAGGGAACTCTACTTGGAACTAGGAATCTGTTTGGCTGTTCTCATTTTTGGTTTATATAGAAAGTGGGGCAAAGAATAATTTTCTGTTATTTGGCTCAAAATTAATTGCTTTATATGGGATTACCACATAATTTCCTGAAGAAAGCTTTTGTCTTTACTATGAGATTCTCCACCTCTCTCTACTTTGGTCCTCTGTAGGTAGAAGAAACCAAAAAGATGAAAATTGGTGATCCACTTGATAGATCTACAGACCATGGGCCACAAAATCACAAAGCACATTTGGAAAAACTTCTGGAGTACTGTGAAACTGGACGTAAAGAAGGAGCTACGCTAGTGTACGGAGGAAGACAAGTATGTAGACCAGGTAAACAAAACTCTAAAGCAGGGTTTCATCACCTAGATTACTGCAGAATCAATCTAAAGAGTTTTGATTGATGTTCTCTCAGTCAATTTGGTAGCAATTTTTAGAAGAATTTTTAAATGCAAGTATATGAAAAAGCTGCAAGAGAAAAGCAACATCCTAGGAAATTGTTGCCTTTTCTATAGAGAGGTGTACTGTGACAGTCAAACCACCTAAAAATTGATTGTATCCAAATTTTTCAGATCAAACACTGCAGCCCTCAATAAATGAACATATGGCACCAAGTAAGAACTGTGTGGAAGATTGACACCCTAGAACCTTTGACGTATCAAAATGAAAAAAACCCTGATACAATTTCATACTTTATCTGTGACACTGCACTTTGTTTGATTAGGCTTCTTCATGGAACCTACCATATTTACAGACGTTGAAGACTATATGCATATTGCCCATGAAGAATCGTTTGGTCCAGTAATGGTCATTTCCAAGTTCAAAGATGGGTAGGTTCTGCTCTAGTGAAGTCATCTGATCCTCAGTATTATGCTGTTGCTTGTTTTTGAGCTTTCCATCTATGTGATTGCCCTATGAGGGAGAGCACGGCATTCAAACATTTGGATTGGAGAACGACACACCTTTATGAGCGGGAAGCCTGTTCACTGTTTGAAGGAACAACCTGCACCTTCCTGGGTCCTGCAGTCAGCTGTGGAAATTCTGCTCACTTAGTTTGGTGGGCACAAGAGGGTTCCCCCCTTCATCCTTCTGGAATGTGCCACCACAGGTTATGCAGATAGCTCCTTCCATTGCAGTTTTTAAGCAGGCTTTAAAGACTTGGGATGGTCCCATCTGCTTTTAAGTAAATGCATGTCCATTTTTCTTGCCAACATTTTAGTTAATTGTAGCTTAGATTCTATTGTTGAATTATTACTTCATAATCTACTTTGAGGAAGTTCTGCCTCAAAATGGTTAGAACGCTGGACTGGAAATCAGATCAAGTCTCCACTCCACCATGAAATGTACTGGGTGATTCTGGGTGAGTTGCTGACTTCTCTGTGTTATTATGAGGATGGAAAGGAGCACCATGCAATCTGCCTTGGGTCCTTCACAAAAAGCAGAAAGGTTAGGATAGAAATGTAATAATAATAAATCAATGAAAGCCAACATGGACTGGTTAGAATCCTTTATTAGGGAATGGGGTATGTTTGACTTTGCCTAGCAAGTTATCCTTTCTTACTGTAGAGACGTGGATGGGGTGTTAGATCGTGCAAACAGAACAGAATATGGCCTTGCTTCGGGGGTCTTCACCAAAGACATAAGTAAAGCTTTGTATGTCAGTGACAGACTAGAAGCTGGAACAGTTTTTATTAACACCTATAACAAAACTGATGTGGCAGCTCCATTCGGTGGATTCAAGCAGTCTGGCTTTGGAAAAGACTTAGGTAAGTTGCCTCTCCTTTTAAGTCCATTCATAAAAAATAAGCCTTATACAGTAAGCATGCCATCTTATACCTTTCTGACTTTGTTTGGGAGGATACAGGATTTTTTAGAGTCCCAGCTCCAAGATCCTGTAATTTCAGATTGTCTCAGCTTCCACCACTCTGCCCTTGCAACAAACACGGAAAAAGCCATCCAGCTGCCCCTCCCGAGATTGCAAATGGCCCAAAAAGCGGGGGAAAGTGGCAGTTGGGGGGGACAGGGAGGAAAGGACTTGGGTTGCAGACTTATGCTGATTTTAGTCTGCATTTATCCTCCTTCCCACTGCTAAACCGAGATGGCCTTTTTCAGCCATCTAGAGAAAATGCAGGTTATGAGGTGTGGTGGTGATCATAATCATGCCTTGCACTGGAGACTCATAAGCTCTCCAGATACATTGGACTATAATTCCCATTGCTCCCAGCCAATGTAAGAATTGAAGGGCACCAGGCTGGGGAAAGTTGTTCTAATGTATCTGTTTTTACAGTGATTCATTTCCATGGTCTGATATCAAATTATGTCCTAATTGCCACTATTATTCAATGAATTGAAGAAAGATGGGTTAGTTTCTAAATTTTTGAAAGCACAGCAGTGAAGATCAACATTTATATGGTGCAACTGTTTCTACCCTCTCATTTCCTTCAGGTGAAGAAGCTCTCCATGAATATCTTAGAACAAAAGCTGTAACTGTGGAATATTAAGCTGCTCAGCTTCGGTGGCATGGCAATGATCTTGCCAATCTACTCAACTTTAGAAGTACTTCCTCAAGCACAAGACAGGACTGCAGAACTACCAACAGCAAAAAAAAAACAAAAACAAAAAAACAAAAACCCTAAGTAGAGTGCTTTCCTAGCAATGATTCAGAAGTCAGAGGCTCATCCAACTGTGCAATCAAAGAATATTGCATTCACAGAGGACCAAGATAGTCCTCCTTGAAGTTATGCCATTGGTTCCATGTATTTTATTGTGTGGATATCCAAGCGGCGCCCTGCATTTGTCAGAACTTATGCCAGAGTCACGCAGACTCTACTGTGACAACTCCACTCCTGTAGCTTCTTTTTTTGTGCAGTCTCTATCATCACCACTCAACCTGCATGCTGACCTATATGGCTACTAAACATATAGCAGTGGGCAGGAATCTAGGTATCAGTACACTGAAAGCTCTGAGCACTGCAATGTCAAGGGGCTGGCTACATTTCTTAGTTGTCCAATACAGTCACATGGGACTTGGTTTCTGAAAATAAGCATTGTGCCAGCATTATGCCCCTCCCATGAGGCACATTCAGCCTGTTTAAGCAACATAGAAGGAAACAGTTTGCCATAAACCAGTGTAAATAAATTCAAGGAAGTGCACTTATAACATGATTTTGTATGATACAGAGGTCAACATCTCTTAAACTATGCATATAAAAGCTATAGCAATTATTTTATAATCTATTTGCCAACAGAGAATGTGTAATCAACATAGAGTTGTGAATGCCAATTATATTATTAAATCAAATCTGTGTGGGATATTTTATGCAGTATTTTACCATTATGAAGTACACATGGATCCATACATCAATCTACATGCCTCTACTGCTTTTCCTACCCCACCCCCCAATAAAACCCTCCTAGGAAAAAAGTTGCTTTCTTTTAACGAAGATTAACCTCCTTTATGATAATGCAAGATGTAAGATAAACTCATAATGATATGACCACTGGGTAGGTATTGGCCAAAAACTCTGCAGAATTCAGATGAAGATGAAGAAAGTACAACACAAGACAGTTTCTTCCTTAATGTGAATATTTATACATATATGTTTGGTATAAAACAGAAAGATAGATTATAGGATTATGAGTGGAACAGCTCATGCTCTGTTATTAAAACAAAGAAGTGTTTACTATCCCACCTACAATTCTAACTTCCCCCTTGATCTGCTAAAAAGGAGAGAGTCAATTACCTTGGTTTCAAAGGACAGTTCTGGCAAAGGTGGGCACCGGTGGCCCTTTGCACACAGGTGGACTCCACTCATAAGCCTGCTCAGATATGATGAGAGTTGCCACAGGTTCCCTACCCTGGATTACAGCTCTCAAGATGAAGCAGCTGCAAGTACTTCTGGGACAGAGATACCCACAAACTATAAGAGTTACTGACTACCTGATTGGCCAAGTACAATTTTGGAGCTTTGGCTGGACAAGATACTCCAAACTATAGATGCATTTCCATTGGATTCCATACAGCAGCTGAAACATAAGCATTTGCCTTATCAGGTTACATAAATAATACAACACATGAATTGTCCTCAGATAAGTTTCCAGTGATGCTTCCACTCTCCGTCCGATTCAATATTTCCTTCAGCTTTTTTCCAGTATGCTGACCCCATGAAGAAAACTGAGTGTCCTTATTCATCTCTTCTGCATTGAAATTTGAACTTCAAAGAGATTTAATCACCGTGAGGTGCAGACAGTAAGCTAGTTTCTAGGCAGCAGAAGCTAGCTATCCAAGAGGACTTTGAAAAAATTAATGAAACATGACATGTAAGACATGTGGAAATCTGAAACAGCAATAATACATCTATTTGCTTATCTTATTATCCAAAATCTCTATTCGTCCTTCTTCTTTTGATTTAGGAAGTTTAAAGTTTTCTACAGTCACTTCATCACAGTCAGAGCTGTCCTCACTTTCTGAGTCATCTTCGAACACTGACTCCTCTTCCTCTGTATCAGAACCACTCAATTCAACCAATGCCACGTTCTGAAATGATAGCAATTCCATTTAAGTGCTGAACTAAAAGCACATTAAAGCACATTTTGGCAACCCATGGAGGCCTTCAGTGCAGTCTAAACATATCTCTCCCTCTTTGCTAGATTCCTTCCTTCCTCCCACATCACCAAATGTTCCTGGCCTCTCCACTGCATTTTCTTCCTTGAAAGGCTGGGAGAAAGAAAAGTCCTTCTGTTCCAACCTAGCATGGAAAGAAAGCTGAATGAAATGTAAGAGTGTGAATGGGAGAAAAGGCATGAATTGGGAGGGTATGGATAGAAGGAAAATGTGGGAATGGAAATAGAGGAATAAGTGTGAATGAGTGGAGCAGCATAAAAGGGACAATAGGAAGGGAGAAGGCAAGTTTGAGGCTACTTGGATGGATCTTTGGTATTATCCAGAATCCATTTTAGGGTTCGTACTAGACACATTTAAAGAAAACACTTTTTAAATAGATTTCAGTATAGAAATTAGTTTCAAAGGTGTACTGGCAAGGTACAGATATCAGACACTGTTAGGCTTAGTGGCCACTGATCCAGATAACAAAGTCTGCATGAATCATTAGAATAATTTGAAATATAGTATCATTTTTAAATAGGCAAAATTGAAAAGTTTGAGGAAAATGGCCCTCATTTTGAGCACTGTAAAAATGAGTATGCAACATTAGATACCAAGACATATAGAAACAAAAAGAATCACCATTTCAATGACATTTTCAGTTGAAGCATCTACATGTTCTATATCAAATTCGTGAAGAGGTGCATTGTCCATTTCTCTTCTCAGTTCGGCATTTGCACTGGCCATCTGTGGTAGGAAGTTCTGAACCCTATCCAAAACTAACACATGAAAATAGCATTTATGCAGGTATTAAAGCACTTGTAAAAATACTTTGATTTAAAAAGCAGTACATTTGCAGGGACAGGACACAGAATAGGATGTGGTAGCTACTGAGTAGACAATAGTGAGGAATAAGGACAAATAAAAAGTGTTATAATATATAGAATGGTCATGCTGCAAGAAGAAATAACTATTTTGAAAGTTCCTGGCTCCAACAGTTAGAAAATCAATGTGAATAAATAGTGAATGATGTATACACAGAACTCCAGATTTAAGAGATGTTTGCTCTGCAAGAGTTCTCTGCAGGTGTTAAAGATTTCAGCAAGAGTGCTGACTGCTTTCTCTCCACTATGCAGCCAGGAACAGACAGAAGGCAGATGTCTAGATGTTTTGAACCTCAACTCCTGAGGTGGTAGCTGAACGGTAGCTGAGCTGGCAAGGGTTCCTGGGAGTTGTACTCCAAAACTATCTGGACAGCTGCCTTCTGCCCATCTCTGCCTTATGTTACTCACATAGATCCTGACCTTGTATGCCCTGAGGACACTGAAGAATAGTTTTTCCTGGCCACACATGCACACTTGTCACTGCCATCATCAGGTAGATGGCTCCTCATTACAGCACCAACACAAGACTCCATTATTTGCCTTTCAGAAGTGAGTGCTGGTGGGACCAGGCTTATAACCAGAAGCTGAAGAAGACACAAATATGCCTCCAAATACTCCTATATATACCTATTCTTTTAACACAGCATTCTGAAACAAAAATTAACACTCCCCCCCACCCCCGGCAAAAAATAGAGCATTACAGTTTTCTAGCATAAGGTCTGAATATACCTGTTACAATAGATAAATATGTAATGTACACCCCTATATCAAAATAGATAGATCTGTCTATTTGTAGATTCTGCCCAAAAACCAACTGCTTAAAATTGAAAGAGTCATTAAGCCCTCAACCTGTTGTATTACTGAAGGTATCCAATTGTCCTTCCATTGTTATAATATTAGTTTTTTAGCTTCAAAAGAGCAGCTTTTGAAAATCTATTTGCATCAACCCTGTATGAAATTCCAAGATGTAGATAATTAAAAACATGCACCTCTGTACATATTAATGCACTTTTCATCACAAAATTATCTATTTTTAAATTAAAGATTACAATAAAATGGATTTTAAAAACACCATGGCATTCCCAACCTAGTGCTCTCCAAGTACATTGGGTCACAATCCTCATCATGGAGCACCAATGCATTAAAGACAGTTTGTGAACTGCAGATAGACAGAAAATCTCTTAAAGGACTTACGGTTGCTCCTTGGCAGCCTGACTGTCTGCAAGCTTGTGGCTTTCTTCTTCACATGATTTGAACTGAGCAACAGCATCTCCTGAATGCCTACAATCCAGAAATACTGCATCAGTTGTGTGGGAACAGATGGATTACACTAGCATTTTTCTTTGAAGATAGCTCTTTTTCTGTTAGAGCAGGGTTGAACAACTTGGTGCCTTTCAGATGCTGAGGCCTACAATTCCCACCTGCCCCAGCCAGTGCTGAAGGATGATGGAAGTTCTAGGCCAAAACATGTGACAGCTACAAGATGCCCACTCCTATATTACAGGTTAACTCAGTGATTCCCAAAGTGGGCAGTACTGCAACAGATCTAATACAGGTGTGGAGGTGCTAGGGTTGCTGCCCAAGAAGAAAGGACAGTTGCCCAAAACAGTTTGGGGACCACTGGCTTAACTGATAAACTGATTTTATTTATCATGGACCATATACTATGAACCATATATTCATGTCTATTCCACCACGTGTGCATGCTGCCAGGGGCAGTGTTGCAATGTTAAAGAAATATGTATCTACTTCAATCATTACAGGAGAGCGTGCCCTCTAAATCTGTAACATAGAAAACAACCTGTATCTACCACAAGCAAACAAGTTATTCAGCACATCAGTGGCAGCATTTCTTCCAGAATCATGTGGCACTAAGCTGCCTGCAATGTCAAGCATGTGTGAAAATGCTGTTTGTGCATTTCTCAAGTGCAAAATATTGGAGGCATCATTGCTGGTTTTTTGGAGAGGGAACCCCCCCCCCACAAAGTCACAAATATATGACACCCTCAGAAGCACTCCTTCTAATAGTCACAGAAGTCTGGCAGTCATAAGGTAACCTGGTCCCAAGTGGTTTAAGCCTTTATATGTTGACAACAATACTGTGAACTTGGCCTAGTAGATTTCAGGCATACGGGGCTGTTCTTCTAGCAGAGGATTACTCTGTTTTCAAGAGGCCCAAGCTGGAAGTGCCATTTCTTATTTGTTTGTTTAACACTTTTGTACACTGTTGCAATAGCTTCATAGCCCTCTGGCTAATAGCCCTCTGGCTAATAAACAAGACAACATCCCCCTCATAGCGGGGCACCAGCTGCAGCTTTGGGACCAAGCCCAAAGATAGCTCCAGGTCGATCACATTACAATAATCCATTCTCGGGGTTACCAATACATGCACCACTGTGGCTAAGGTACCACAGTCCTGGAACTGCTTCAGTTGGACAAATGTAGTTGGCACCCCATTCTGCTGCTACATTCTGCTGCAAATGTGGGATATCATGGTTCCTAGCTCCCAGCAATATCTTTCTCCTCCACCTTCATTTTAAAAAATTAGCATCCAGTCGCAAAATTCTGCTGAACATGATGGTTTGCTAGTTTCTTGACAACTCTTCAGATGTCCCCGATAAATAGACTGTACGATCAGCTGCAAGTATTTTAGCATGACACCTCACCAGCAGTTCACCCACCAAATTGTTTCTAGCGTTCAGTGCATCCATTTGCAAAGTTTGGATCCAAAGTAAAGAACCCAACAAAATGCTACAGCTTAAAGAGATGCAATCAGGATCACAGGTGGACGTCCTGCTCTTGTCCGGCCACCTGGCTCGAGCTTCCTTGTCCCCTCGCTCATCGTCCATTACCTCCTCCGCGTCCCGCAGAGAGAAGCTCGCGAGATACAGCCGGCCCCGCGCCATCCCCGTTCACCGCCATCCACCTACAAGCAGAGCAGAACAGACTTCCTCACATCCATGTGCGGCTCTTTCGGGAGGAACAGGAACGAGGACGGACCGGAACTTGAGCGAGAGACGGGCGGGGGGGGGGGAGCCCAGAACGGACAGGCCAGCGCAAGCGCGCCATCTGCAGTGCAGAGGGGCTAATGGCCTTCCTGAGTTTTTGTGGTTCAGTTACTATGTCCTTAGTCCACAAGCAGAAGGATGCACACGCAGAGAGAGAGAGAGAGAGAGGGATTGCTAAACTGCAATTAAAACCAGTAAATTAAAAAATAAGAATCTAAAAATGTGAGTAGGTAAAAAGCAGTGAAAGGACTTACAAGGAAAATACCCAAAGACACAAGCGGATCATGGGTAACTGGTGTTAAAATCATTGTCAAGATTGGAAGCTAGCCAAAGAGAAAATGTTGGGTTGAAGCCCTGTAGTTTGCACCAAAGAGCTACGTGTAAAACTATGCTATTCCAGGTCAAAGAGGTATGTAAAACTTTTTGCTTATCAATGAATCAGCAAAAACAATTGTAAAGGGTGTGTACACGGAAGAGCTTTATATACAGATGTCTAGAAAAAATAAAGGTTTAATTGCCAAAATTTGAGTGAAGTTATTTTCTCTGGGACATGTCAGTCTCTGGACACCTTTGTAGGGTGCTTTCCAACATATTAAAACAGTGGATTTTTCTGCTTTGGGGTGAATTCAGCCAATGTAAATGGCATGCACAGCACTTTGATTCAGCTGGCAGTTCTGCACTTTCCCTAAGGTCCAGCTGGGCTGTAAAGTACTGCATGTGTTTATTTTTATTTCAAACATTTGGGTTACACTACCCCACCTACCACACATGGGTCTGTAAATTGGCTTATAACATGAATTAGCCCTCTGCAAACTGACCTTCTTAAGCCTCCAAATAGGACCACCAGCTCTTAAGGCTTTGCAAAGCATCTTTTTTGGAGTGAGGGGGAAGGAAATATAAACATGCAGCACAGGTCCTCTCCTGTTTATGTGGTAAATAGAAAGATGCTGCAACAGTTAGTCCTCCAACTTAATTGGAAATGAAAATAAAAGCCCCCATGAAGCGTGGAGGCAAGGACATCTTTCTCTCCCTCCCATAACACAAGAATCCAGTGTCATCCCATGAAGCTGATTAGCACATAGTTAAATTATGGAATTTGCTGCCATGGGATGTAATGATAGTCACCAATTTTTAAAAGGAGATTGGACTAATTCAAGGAGCATGAGCCTATTAAAGGCTTCTAGCCTTGTTGTTTATGTCCTACATGCTAGTTATCTGGCCAGGGCGACTTATTTTATATTGTTAATTTGTTTTATATTTTTAATGTATTATATTTTAATTTATGTTGTGAGCTGTCCCGAGGCTTCAGCAAATGGGGCGGCATAGAAATGTTTTAAATAAATAAATAAATATTTGCTTAGGAAATGGAATTCCTACGCCAGTGTGGTGTAGTGGTTATGAGCATGGGACTGGGACTCAGACGACCTGGGTTCTAGTCCCCGCTCAGCCATGGAGCCAACTGGGTGACTTTGGGCCAGTCACAGACTCTCAGCCCAACCTACCTCACAGGGTTGTTGTTGTGGGGATAAGATGGAGGAGAAGAATGATGTAAGCTGCCTTGAGCCCTTTGTAGGAAAAAGGCAGGATATAAATCGAAAATAAATACATAAAATAAAATTGTCATACCTATCCTGCTTGAGGGAACCTGTCTACAGATGGTTTACCACAACTGTGAAAGCAGAGTTTCAGTTCTACTAATCATATTCCTACTTTAAAATAATTTAAACCAAAAACAAGAATATGAACTGCAACCCACTTCCTCTTGGTGCTTATAAATATAGCTTTATAAAAACTCTGAGATGAAAACTTATTAGTTTACACAGCCTTTGCAATACTCTGGTCTTTTCAAAATGCACCTGTATCCACTCATGGTTGTGCTTAGTTCTCTTTGGCTATCCTCTTCCTCTAGGCCAGTCTCTCCCTCCCTCTTCATTTCTTGGTAGTACAGTATCTGTTTGTCTGAAGGATGCCCTTGAGTGTTATGTCTTATGGGATGTAAATGTTTACATTTTCTGTGCATCACTTATTTGATTTGACTTTACCTCTCTCCATAACTTTTGTTGATTACTTCTGGTTCACAGCTTTTGGTTGGATATAGGCATATGTAGGTCCACTAATGCCTTATTTATACAGATATGATTGCCTTCTTTGATGGTTGGCCATTTCTTCTCTGCACTGATCTACTCCTGCTGGCTGCAGAAAGTCTCCTCTCACTGACAATAGGGTTTTGGTCCAACATGCATACTATACTGGACTGGTCTGGCAAACTTGTGATGTATGTCCCAGGAAGGACTGCCACCAAGGACTACCTTATGATAACATAGTTTCGTGTAGCATTTTTAGCTGTTTTGCAGAAGATTCCACCTTCCCATTTTGATGTAGGTATGCTGGAGAGGATGTGTGTTGATTGAATTCCTAGTTCTTTGCAAATGGGGAGAAGTCCTCCGATTCAAACTGAGACCCATTACCTGAAAAATACGGAGGCAGGGATACCATACCTTGCAACACAAGCCCTCTGTTTAACAATGACTGCCCTGCTTCTTGTGTCTGAGAGGGCATCAACCTCCCAGAAATGGGAGTAAGACTCGCTTGTAACTAGATACTGTTTCCCTCTGAAAGTATACTAGTCAATTCTAAGCTTCTCCCATGGGTAACTCATGTAGTTGAAGAGTCTCTTTCTGTTGTTTAGTACTATAACACATACTTCTGTGAAGGGTTGGAAGTGTGAGTTCATTCCTAGCCAATGAATACACCCTTTAGCTCTCTGAAGGCAGTGGTCAATGACCAGGTGTGATGATTTTTTAAATGTTATTAATATTATATTATTATTCTAACATTACATTTGTATCCCACCTTTTTTCTGACTATGAGGAACCCAAGGTGGTTTACATAGCTCCATTTTATCCTCACAACACCCTGTGAAGTTTATTGGGCTGAGGGTGAATAACTAGCCTAAGTGACTGCATGGGGACTAAGATCTGGATCTTCCCAGTCCAACACTCTAGCCACCACATCAGCCTGGTTCGCATGACTTCTTTATATAAGGAAGCTGGAACAACTTTCTCTGTCCTTGAAATGCAATCTGATCTTGTTCACTGAGCTAACCTTTGCTTCGGAAATGTGGTTCTGCTCCGGATCATGCTGGACTCTTATCTTCATGCAACAATCAGATTTGTGGCAATGTACTCCAACAGGGCTTTAACTATTTAACAGGGCTTTCCTTGCACACCCATCAGTCAGCTGATATCTCCTTTCATGTTTAGGGTTAGTTATTATAGCATTGCATTTTCTTACTGCTATCATTTTACATAATCAGTGTGCATCTCCTCTATTTGATAGATGTATTAGGATTCAATTCACTTTGTGGGATCATACTGAAAGAGGCCCCATTATCTAGTTAGACACACAGGCTGTTGAACCAATAGAATGATAGAAACATAGAAACAGAATGAGTCAGAGGGGGTCTCCCGGGCCATCTAGTCTGACCCCCGGCTCCAACTGGCTATGCTGATGACATGCCTACCATGTGCAACCTGTATGGCCAACATGTGTTGTTGCATAAAATTCAGCGCTTCTCCTCTGGGACTGAACAGCCTGCACTTGACCTTTTCATATGCCAACGAAGAGGGCTATTATGTCATCACTATGTTACATCATCTTTCTGCACAATTCTGACAGCTTCTCTAATGGGCTTCCTTTTACCTTTGCATATACTGCTGAAGAGATTCAGTCTGCCACATTTCCTGCAGTGCTGACCTAATGCCCAACACACATCTTTATTCTCTCATACTTTCTCCCAGAGTAAATACATCTCACACTGAGCCTGGAGGGTTGGGTTACTACTCTCATCAACTGTTGTCCCACCACATATATTTCAGAAGGTGCAGAACCTCCCAGGGCTTTCAGTCTTTTTCACAAGACTTCTTATTTATGGATGTGAGCCGCCCCAAGGCTTCGGTGAATGGGGCAGCATAGAAGTCTCCTAAATAAATAAATAAATAGTGCGTGTCCTCTATCTATGTATTGGTCTAGTTTGCAGTCACCTTCCCTGAGGAGCTGCTCTAGCAGAGAATGGTTTCAAATGCCACAGAGTAAGATGTCTCTCATCACAGAATCGGTTAAGTCTCCAAAATTGCAATAGGCATCTTGGGTTACTAGAATGGCTGACAGGGTAGAAATCTGTGCTCTGCTTTAGAGCAGTGTATAGCTCTCTGCCCTGTTCCTCTATCTGAGGGATCATAGGATAGTTCAGATTCCCAGATCCAAGGTCAGAGATGCCATTCTGACCATGGACCTGGGAACTGGAGTTCTGACCTCATTCACCCTTGCAGCTGGCATGGAATGTACATCACTGGCTGATTTCCAAGGTTTTGAAAGCAACATCAAAGTAGAAATGGTGGTGTTCCAGTCAGCAGAAAGAGGAATAGACCGTGTGATCAAAATGCAGGGTGGAAGGATGGGGAGCTGAATTGCCTCTGCTCTTCTTCCAGTCTGCATTGGATGTTTGGAGTTCAGGGCTACATCTTTAAATATTGATTCACTGTCTTTTTAAAAGAACAATCAAAGTATAAAATTGCCCCCTGGATAAAAAATCCAGCACTCTCACAATCATTTTTTTCCAGTTGGCATTTTTAGTCAAAGTTGTTGATGATATATATTATAGTTCTGCTGATGAAGTTTTATGATTGTTTATCTTACTTCAATGGCTGGATTGCTTTTCATTCCCTTGTGCTTTATGTATGTATTTGAAAGCCATTCTGCATTTGATTTTATCATAGAAAAATGAGTTCAAGGATAGGGAAAGGTGGGTTCATCATGTCACAGACCTGTTAGTATGCATTCACACCACTGGTATTTGCTGTAAACTTACAGAACCGGTATTTCTGGAGCTTGAATGTAGAGATAAAAGTATTTGAACAAAACATGCTGACCATGCCTTATCGCTCAAATAGTATTGCAGCTGTACCCTGTTTAACAGAG